CCCCTATGTGGCTGATCACTATTCCATGCCTATAAATCAGGGCATTTGCTTATAGCAAACCCTAGAAGGATATATCTTTTAACCTCAGTGCGTTTATTGAGAAAAGGAACAAAGCTAAATTGTTAATCGATTTAGGCTAGTATGCCATTGTTCTGGTAATAGGCTGTAACAGCCCTTTCTTTATTGGCTTCAACTGCAAATTTACCCGAAACAATGCCTTTTAATTGTGGCGTGCTTGAGGCAGCGCAGCAACACTTGGGAAGGAAAGGGGAGAGAGAAGGAGAATTCATTGTTTGCATCAGTCTCTAGATTTAGCAACTTCAAAATTAGGCTGAGCAACTGGGTTTTGGGTTTGTTTGGGGGTTTTTTCCCTTCTTTTTTTGTATTTTTAGTGGAAAGGCTGTCTCTAGACAATATGCTGATAAGTCTTCTGTGGCGTTAAAAGTGTCACTGCAGTCTTACTGAGGGCAAAAGAAACCAATTTTGAGACCAATTGATGACCTCTTGGAGGTTAAGGTTTAATGTATTTTATAAACCAAACCAGCCTGCTCACCTTTTCTGGTGAGTAATGAAGAAAAGGCAATCTGGATTTTCTCTTTTGTAGTTTTTCTGATGAAAATAAACATATTCAATACCCCATTGCCAGCATGTAGCGTACCTTTAATTTTGCAGTGCTTTGGAAGTAATTGCTGCAAAATGATTTAGTCCTAAGTTATAAGCTACTCTCGACTTTGTGACTTTTTGTACTCAGCTATTGGCAAGAGGATTGCTTTAGATTTATTAGATGGTAATTAGATAACAGCTTTGAGTCTTTGCCTAGTTGCGCAGTTCATGTCTCTGTAGGAACTTTGTCAGTGTATACTAATTTGTATTTGGAAAATATACACTGCTGGTATTACTCGTGTTGTTATTAAAAACACATGGATTTATCTGGTAATTTCCAGTACTCGGATTTTGCTTTTTACCCAGGAGATACCATTGCTTGCTGTCTGATTTTCTTGCATTAGCGTTGTGCTTTTCAGGGGCTCCCAGAACTAGCAGGGAGTAGCTAAATACACAGAATTCTTTTACATAAAATATTTCTCTTTGAAGCTCTCTGTTTTGAGATCTTCATCCTTTTCATTGATTCCCTTTTGTCTTTGTCTTAGAAAAAGCTGAAATAGGCAGCACTCAGAGTTCGAGCCCTCTGAATACGTGTGCTGTAGGTTCAGCTCCCTAACTCTCTTTTTTCCCTTTTGATTCTTAAATATTGCAGTCCACTTGAAAAACAGTGAAAAAATTTACACCAGCTGTACGTAACATTGTTGCCACCTGGTAATGTTTGAAACAAGGCCTAGGTAGGGTGTGTATGCACATAAGTATATATAATCAATGTGTAAGTATATATTTTTAAATCTGAGTTTTGTAAACAGATCCTTGAAATAGTTTTTCCACCCCGGAGGTTTTAAAGTCATTCCTGTAGCTTTGTAGGCGCTAAATGCGTTACCTATGCTTTGTGTATGTTTTTCCACCTATGTGTATGTGTGTTTATGCATCAGAGATAATAACTAAATGACCTTGCTTTTTTATTTTCTTAGGGTGTAGTAGATGTAACACCCAAGTAGTACAGAAGTGCCTCTTGTAGAGTAGCATCGGGTACTACCAATTTAACAAAGACAAATGGGAATCGATACCTTTCCATGCTTTCTGGTGTCTGATTTTTGCATCTGAGTGATAAAATTATCAGTATGCACAAAGCAAAAGACCTCAGAGCCTGGTGGCGTTGGCAGCAGGTTACCTGGAGGTCGGAGTTTTCTGGTGTACCTCGTGAGAGCAGTCCTGAATTATATCCCTGTCTCTGTTAGGAAAATGTCCTGTGTTGAAGTACTTCATTCCTGGCGTGTTTTTCCTCCTCAGGTTTCTCATGTATTCCCTTCCTGAGCCTTTGCTCACAGACAAAGCCAAAAACTTGTGTAGAAGATGTCCCAGTTATCAGCGCCCACCAGTCCCGCTGTCACGTACAGCGCAAACAGAACCGAGTCGGAAGGGACAAGGGGTTTTGTTTGCTGCTTTTACTGGAGCTAGGAGATCAGTTCAGCTTTCTGTATTGAATGTGAAGATAAAATTCCAGCTTCAGTTTGCTTTTAGTGCTTAGTATTTATTTCTGTCTGTCCTGGAGGGTGTCTCTGGGAGAGTGTTTATAGAGTAACGCAGACCTGCTAATGCCCTGCTCATGCCAGGCAGGACGTGGGATACAAATTTAGTTCCTATTTCTTTTGCTTTCAGAGACATCAACTCTGATTTTTTTTTTTTTTTTTTTAATATCCTGTGTTTGTTCATAATGGCAGCAGCTTCTAAACCTTAGTAAGGAATCTGAGTAACTTAGAGATAAGTACTTAACTAATAGCATATCAAAGAAATTTGACTTTGGTTATTTTTTTAAACCTAAATCCCATGTTTTGTTTTTGCATTGCTGAAATATGATTAAATTATGTTGATATTGAAATGCTTTTTTTTTTTTTTTCCCCTAAGATGTGGCATGGCTGGGGCTACAGTACTAATGGGATTAATTTCCACCCCCTCCCCATCATTCTTGGTAGCATTTCTGTGGTGAATGATTTAGTAATTTTTTCCAGCGAAAATTGTTCAAAGAGTTTTCTGAGCAGAGGCTCTTTGAGAGCTTGACAGATTGCATAAGGTTGTTTTTAGCTTGTGAGACTTGCTCAGGTTTCCAGAGTCTGTTTACTCTTGGTTGCATGCAAAGTGCTGTCAGTGTTGAAGTGTTGATATAGTTTGATTCCTAGCTTTTCCACAGATATTGTTTTCAAAAGGATGAATTTTTAGACAAAATGTCTAGATGTTCTTGCCTACCACTTGGAATTTGCATCTGTTTTTGCAAGGTTCTGGTCAGTAGATGAGTAATTTGAATTTTCAAAGATGTTGAAGCCTTAAAAAAAAATATATATGTGTGTGTGTGCGCGTTTATTTATCTACATCTATATTTACATCTACATCTATCTGTATCTCCATAGAAGGTATAAATGCTTCCTGTGCTTCTGAAAATTGGAGTTGTTTCTTTGCTTGCTTAAGTATAGATGTCCCACAGAACTTTAGTAACTGGCTTTTAAAAATGTCAAGCTACATTTCTGAGGTTGAAAAGTATTATCATAAATTAATATGGAGGAAGAGGAAGGAGGTTTCCAAAATCTGTGGGGTTTGCCTTTTTTAATTTGGATCAGAGATGAACCTTAAAAGTGTTCTGTGGAAAAAATTCTGGAAAACCATTTTGAGTCAGTCAAAACATTTACAAAGGATTAGATGATAACATTAACAGATCACTAGGAAAAGACACAGCAAAAGGTTCCAAGATACTGTTTTTGGGAACTTCTGATCTTGCTTCCTTCTCTTTTCTGCCAAATTTGATTTTGCAGAGTGTTTTTGTTTTACTAAAACTGTGTTTTAAGTAGGACGACTTAATTTTGCCAGAAGGCTGTGATTTGCTCCAGCCATGTGCTGAAGATGGAGTTTATAACCTCTCTAGGTAGGAATCCTGTTTCAGATGCCAATATGTGTTCTGCCAGAATGTGGTGTTTGGGCATTTCAGATACTGCTTCCATTTGATGTCATCCTTCCCTGGTAATTTTTTTTCAACTGTTTCTGCTATGCTTCAGGTATTTGTTAAAACCCATCTGGAATATTCTGACTAATGCACATGAGATGGGAGTGTGCATCCGAACGGTCTGGCTCTTGGTTTTGTCTTCAGCCCATGCGTGCTTCTACCAGTCTCTATGCTAAAGCAGAGGATGCAGAATCTCAATATTGGATTTTTTTGGGGGAGCCAAAGTGATGTATCAGATCTGCTGCCCCAAACTCTTCCTAGATCTGTCTCCCTCAGCCTTGATGAAGTGTAACTGTCTTCTCTGTTGTCCGTGGTCTTTGAAGAAAACATACCTTGTTAAAATCTATGGAAGGAGGAGTTACAGCTGCAGCCACTAGATTGCTACCTTCATTTTCTCTTACAGCGTGGATGTGTTTGGTTGTCACATTTTGTGTAGGAGTAATAGAAATGTGAAAGTAGGTTTTGCACAGCTTTGCTCACTCTTTCCAGTACCTGTATTCATGCTCATTTCAAGTACTGAGAACTGCAGGTAATGAGCATGAATATCAATTTCCTTTGTACTGCAACAAAGGGTTAAGCGTAGTTCTGAAATCTGTTCTGAACTTTTCATCAAAACACCCCTCTGAGCTCCAGACTGGGTTTCACACAATCACAGAATGGTTTGGGTTGGAAGGGACCTTTTAAAGGTCATCTTGTTGCAACCCCCCTGCCATGGGCAGGGACATCTTCAACTCGATCAGGTTGCTCAAAGCCCCATCCAAAACACTTCCAGGGATGGGGCTTCCACAGCCTCTCTGGGCAACCTGCTCCAGTGTCCCACCACCCTCACAGAGAAGAACTTCTTCCTTACATCTAATGTAAATCTACCCTCTTGCAGTTTAAAGCCATTACCCCTTGTCCTATCAGTACATGCCCTTGTAGAAAGTCCCTCTCCAGCTTTCCCGTAGGTCACGTTTAGGTACTGGCAGGCTGCTGTAAGGGTTCCCCGGAGCCTTCTCTTCTCCAGGCTGAACAACCCCAACTCTCTCAGCCTGTCCTTACAGCAGAGGTGTTCCAGCCCTCTGATCATCTTCGTGTCCCTCCTCTGGACCCGCTCCAGCAGGTTTTAAATACTGGCGTTCATTGAGTGTCCTGGGATGAACGATTCCAACTGTACTTTCTGCTTTTAGATCCTCCTCCAAAGCCTCTTGCTACCGTCCAGTTGTCACCTCCTGTTGGTAGGTGCGGAGGGGAAGGGATGTTCGTAGGACAGTCCTGGCGCTGCCCTGGCGGAGGGGACCACTCGGCTTTTTGACTTCAGTGACTTAATAGGGGGTGACGTGGGGATGGGAACATGCTACCGAAGGTCGGGGATGCCTGGAACTGCCATGCTCTGACATCGTTCTGAGTTATGCAGCCCTTGATGCCTGAGGAATTAAGGTCTTATTTTGCACTAGAGGGTTATGGGGATCGGTCCTCCGTTCGGGAGGTCATCAAGGACCTTGTGAAGAGTCAGATGCAGAATGGGCAAGAGGTTGTGCCATGGACTTCATCTGAACTCCTTGCAAGAATTGTGTAGTTTGTCTAAATAAATATGGTAGGAGTAACTTTAGGTTTTCTGTTAGGGAATTCCTTTTGCTGGCTGGTTGGTATTAGTCTGTGTATTAGTCTTTGTTTGTGGAGGAAGGTCTTTTTTTTTTTTTTTTTTTTCCCCTGGGGGGCTGATTTGAGACAATACCATCAGTCTGATGAGAAACCATCACTCTCATCTGTCGTTCTGTAAGGACAATCATCAGAAAGCATGTACAGAGAGTTTTAACAGGAGAATCCCAATTGCCCCATTGTTTTGTGTTGCACTGTTGTTGGTTTGTTTGTAGTGGCTCTTAAGTAAATGAAGATCTAATGATGGATCTTCTAAATTTAGGAAATCATTTGTGAATATTTAATATCATTGGAGACTAATGCTTGTCTTTTTTTTTTTTTTTTTTTAACAGACTCACTGGGCCTTCGGGGTATGTAACGGATGGGCCTGGAAATTACAAATACAAAACAAAATGCACCTGGCTCATTGAAGGAAGGTAAGTGTAGTAAACATCTTGGGTTTTAGTGTTGCTTATAGTAACTTTTAGGTGAGGTTTATCTGCATTGAGTATTTTTTGATCTCATGATTCTTTTTTTGCTACTCTTAAAACTAGATAGGGCAGCACTTGTTGCTGCTACAGCAGTTCAGAGACTCTGACTTGTTGAAATACGTTTTTCATAGTACCAAGCTGTCACCAGGACTGTAAAATGAATTTGTTTAGTCTCTAAAACTTTGTGTGGTCAATTATGATGCTCTGTGTTAACAGCTGTGCATTAAGTAACATTCCATACTGTTCCCTGAAACTGGAAGTAGAGAGGTTTGTGGATAGGAACAAGTCATGTGAGAGCATGCATGATTTCACTTGTATTGAACGCTTTTAAGCTTGAGGTCTCTTGGCATCTTGGAGGATCAGAACTTACTAAAAGGCCAGGGTATACTTTCTTCTTTAGTCTTCTTTCTGTGTTTGGGAGGTCTGATGGGTGGGGGGAATTGGTATTCACTTCATCTACTTCAGACATTTATTTTGGATGAGTAATTCAAATACCTAAGCTCCCAAGATGTTCAAAGGTGAAGACTAAGCTGTTCCAGAGAGCCATGTAGATCACTGAAATTGGGAGCCTACCACTCACTATTAACTATATAAGGAGCCCAGTTCTTTAATGTGGTTAAGATCAAAAGTTAGATGCTGTCAGTAGCAACACCTCTTAATTTTTGTAGGTAATAAAAATACAACTGCAGCCAGTTTGGAACTACAAATAATTAAAAAAATGTTTTGCAAGGATGTCATTACAGACAAACCACCCTCAGCAATTCTAGTACAGTCAGCTTAACCTTCATAGCTTTTTTTTCCTAAAGGATAACGTGACTCATGTTTTTATCAGAAGTGAAGTGCTGCTCATGGGTCCCCGATAACGTCACCGTGACTGCTCCTTCAGCCTTTGCTAGTACTGAGAGGCTTCCTAGGGAACTACCACTTCATGGGGTTTGAAGTGAGATCTTACTTGCTGTAAAGAGGTGTACAAAAATGTTCCTCCTTTCATAGCCAGGCACTTAAGTTGATGTCTTTTTCCTGCTTCTGATTGTTTGTACCCTGCTGTCAGAGGATGGTGGTAAACAGAAAGGAGAGAATCATGCTGATTACAACAGCTGAAATATGCACCCTTGTGAAAATACCCCAAGCTCTCTGCCAAATGTGAAATTCCCAGAGAGATCTGGGCTTGGAAAACAGCATCTGCAAAGCTGTTAAATTCTGCTGAGTGTCCTCACCTTGCTGCTAGCATATTGGTACGTGGACGGCTTTTGAGGTTAGCAAGTAAAGGTACAATCCAAATGTGCAATTGAAGATGCTAGATAAATTCAGAGGTAAAATAAGCCATGTGATCCTTACTGTGCTCATTTCCTTTTTGCATCATTCCTGGCTGGTGTCTGTTCTGTGTCCTCATCATGTGGTTGTCCTTTTCATTTTTCCCCAGGAACATGAGACAAGGCAGATGAGATCCATCCAGCCTGGGGATGCCCATCTGAGGCAGAGCCTGTAACCATGTGCCCTGCAATTCTGCAAATGAGTGCTGTCGGTTAATGAGTTGTTAGCTGTAGCAAAGATAGTATCTTTCTTTTTGTTCTTGGTCTAAAGCTTTTATTGATTAAGTGTTTCTTTCTGCTCTACAGCTGTCAGTCAGTTAAAATAGAAGCAAGCCCCCTACAATTTAATAGGCTGCTCAGTTTTGAAACAATGAGTGTTCTTTGTACCTTTTCTTTAAGCAAGACATTATCCTTGAGTTACACCTGCTGCTCTTTTTGCAAAGGTCTGGAGTAGATCATTCTGCCGATCAAAAATTATTCTTTTGCAGAATAACTCCCTAAAGAATTCCCCTTCTGTGGGAAGGAAGGAAGGAAGGACTCGATGGCAAGCTGACATTTTATTAATTTATTTGATTAGGATGAACAAGGATTTCATCTGAACCCAAGGGCAATGCTGTTGAAGAGATCCTAATCACTTGCATCTCTTATTTCAACAGCTAAAGCTGTGGGTAGGAAAAAGCAGTGCTACTATAGATTCATTTTCTTTTTATCTCGGGGTCCAAGCATAATGTTAGTGGTGTTTTCACCCTCCTTGAGCTGAGCCCTAAATTAGGTGTCTGCTGTGGCTTCTGTGTCATTCTCTTTAGATGCATCTTTGCATATTAGCCATGAAACTAATGGTATCTAAATGCATGTTATTTGGTTATGGCTTAGTGGGCATCTTTTGTGTATGGAGGGAAAGAAATACTGATGTGTTTTGGTGTCTGAACTACTGTTTCCATCCCCACATGAACGAAATAAAACCTTTTTCCTGCTGATACATCTCAGAAGATGAGACCCCTTGCTGGTCTTCTCTTGACTTAGTAAGTCAACAGAGTAGACTCTTCTTGAGCGGTGGTGTTAACATAGGGCTGTGCTGGGTCCGCTACATTCAGGGGGAAGGCAGCAAGTCTTTTCCCAGGATTTCAGCTCTTTCATTCTCAACTGGTCCCAGTATTGTTTGTAACGCGTCTCCAGAAGAAAGTCAAGCAACCTGGTTAGCATTAGTAAGAAATGAGGGGCAGTGAGTGGTTACTACATCTTGAGAGTCCAAATAATAACCAAAGACCTGCCTTTTGGCAAAAAGTAAAGCCCCAGGGCCTCCCATCCTGTAGAAGATGGGTCTCTTCTGCATTTTCTTGACCCGTTTTCTCCAGCTCCCAGAAGGTGGTGAGCAAGGCTGAGAATTTCTTTAGTTAGCATCCATTGAGGCATAATCCCAGTTTCCAGTTTGGAGGGGCTTCCCGCAGGAGGGCCATCCTGAAGTACTGCGCAAGTCATAAAGTAACAGAAGGATTTCTGCCAGCTTTTGGGCAAGTCAGTAATCTCAGGTCATCGCAATCATCAATGTGCAGAAAATCTCTTGAACAAGAAAAATAGCTCTGGTTAGTTCCCTGATGGTGGCTGTGATTCTTCATAGAATCGTAGAATCATTTTGGTTGGAAAAGACCGTTAAGATCATGGAGTCCAACTGCAAACCTGATGGCTGCCAAGTCCACCACTAAACCATGTCCCAAAGTGCCACATATGCATGTGAATGTATTGTCCATGTAGATTTTCTGTTCTTACCCCTGCAAAGCCCTGTCATTAGGGGAGTCAGTACTGGTAAAGAGCAGAGGGCTGACAGTGCTTGCTCTTCAATTTCTGCTGTTGGTGGTGGGGAAAGGTTTAAGGACACAGTTTTTCTGACCATAAAGAATCTGTTGCTTAATACCAGGGGAACGTGCGCACTAAAAAAGAAAGCCACAGCGTGTTTGATGCATCTCTGGTTACAGTAAGTCACTCAGTTTTAGTCTTGTGAGGAGCTTCACGCTGGAGGAGCGAGTTGGAGGGACTTTGCCATCTGTGTCGAGTGGCTAATTACAAATCTTTTATTTATTGTTATTTTTTTACAGGCCAAACACAATCCTCAGGCTTCGATTCAATCACTTTGCAACAGAGTGCAGTTGGGACCACTTGTATGTGTATGACGGAGATTCAATTTACGCTCCCTTACTGGCAGCTTTTAGGTAAGTTCCCCTTGGTAAGAGTCTAACTGTACACAATGATGTTTCTTCAGCTTGGACCCTGAATCAAATGTGGCTTCTAGCAGTATAAATATGTTCCAGTACTCTAAAGATGTAATACTGAAAATACAGCACATACAGCAAGTGTCCTTTTGTGCAGTCAGCGTCAGCATAAACAATTAAGGAGTTGTTTTTGCTTTTACAATGAACAGATCATGTTACTACACTGTAGCATGTAAGTATTATGTTTTCATTTCCAAATCCTGATTATCTAAGAGACAAAAAAATTATTGTCATCTGGTTGAGCTTGAGATGATTTGGTATGCAGGCTCCTTCTAAAGTAGAATACTGCCCCATTTATCAGGTTTGAACATGACTTAAGTTTAACTCATAGCATGTCAATGCTGACAGAAGGCAAAAGCCAATTAATCAACGTTGCAGACATACAGGTCTCGTAGAACTATGTATATCCTGAAACTTTAAAATTTTAAACTTTGGAACACGTTCAGAAACAACAACGATGGGTCAGACAACCTTGTAAAAACATGTGTAAAGATATCTGTTCTTCTGATGGATGACTGGTATTTGGCTCATCTGTCTGTGGTGAGAGACTAATTTGTGGATGCTGGTTAACAGTCGACATTTCACGAAGAGACATAAATATAACTTGTGCATTTATGTACTTTAGTCTTGCAGTGACAAGCACCACCTTATGTTTTCTATTCTTTTAGCTGAAATTAGAAAAATAATCCCAAGTTGGGTGTGAAAAAAATAATGGTTCCCTTTGGACTCTGCTTGTTCCAAGTGGCTGATTAACTATTTCCAGAATTAACCTTCTGCTGTGCTTCATTTCATTTGTGAAATGAAGTTCTAAAAATACTTCATGTTTGTTCTAAAAAATCCTTCTAATCTCTGTGAGAGGAGATCAGCATAGGAACAAAAAGTTGATGATAAAAATTAAAAACATCACGTTTTCTTTGGTCTTCAGCTGAAAATGCAGAGTTGTTTTGTAGTGAAAGAATGCTTCCTGTAAACCTTCAGACTAACCTGAGGTCAAAACAGGCCACACGAATAATTATGTTATTCTCACCACATCTGAGGAAGAAGAAGAAACCTTCTCTCTTCTGAAAACCTCCGAAACCCTGGAAGTGCTCTCGTGAATTGATATGCAGGAAGAGGAAGAAGTGTCATCTTGACTCATAGTCATTTTGCTCTAATCGAGCTAATTTTTAGTATGCTGTTGAAAAGGTGAAATGATCATGATTTGTGCCTGCAGTTTCTTGTGCGTTTTCCAAAAATTAATAGGCTTTTTAAATTGAGGTTATAAGTAGTTCACAGCATTAACAATTATGGTTCAGACTTTAAAAATCATCTGTAAATCACTAGGAAGCCTGTGCCTGAGGACAGGCAAGCGTGAGCTTAATACAATAACATTTTTGAGGTAGGAAAAAATTCAATTATTTTTTTAATTGCTTCTTTAGATGACATTTGAATTTCATCTTCATTAGTAATGAGCTGTGTTGTTCAGTAAACCAAGTTCAGGAAATAGCAGATGCTCCTAATTTTGATGAAGTGCAAAAAAGCATCTGTTGAAAAATACGTTTCCCTGATACCGAAATAAATGCACTAGAATTTTTCAAGAGCAGTGTTCATATTTTATCTCTTTTCTTGGCTTATGTTAAATTTTAATATTAACTGTAACCCTATTGCACTCTTCACTATTTTTGCACTGTGCCAGTGGATTTGCAAGATTGAGCTTTGTACAGTTGGACACTGTAAACTTTCAGAGTTTGTTGGTAAACACTGTAAATTCCTCCCTCTCTAAAGCTGGTTTTTTGTTACCTCCCTGACTTTTTACAGCAGTTGTCTGAGCCCTCACTTCCTTCCCTGCTCTCATTTTGTTTTCTTGACCTTCTGATGCTCACTTATGTTTTTTCACAATGCGGTATTTACTCTGAATATAAGATTATCTTGGAAACCCTCAGCACTGGACTTTAAATTGAACTTTAAATTGGTTTTATCAATTTTTAACTGCAATAAATATTTGCATAATGCAAACATTTACACAGTGCAAGTGTCTGCATAAACCGTTGACTAAACTTCTTATAGCCTGAGTGCCCCCTGGGCAGTCCGGTCCTGTACGTTAAGCTTTTTTTCTAATGAGCAGGTTTACAAATATTTTTGCCGGTTTCTATTTGTGATCATAGGCAACATGAGACTGTGTAAATGTGCTGCTTCAAAAATGCAATATAAGAACATGGAGGAAACAGAAACCCAGCGTGTCCGTCTGCACAGAATCGAGAAATCTGAAGCAGATAAATACACTCATCTGTGAACTTTGTTGGCTTTGTTTTTAACTTTACTCCCCGTTAAACATTTACTGGAGCTGCTTTTGCACCTTTATTTTCATTTTCCGCCGGCCGGCGGGGGCTGTTTTCCTCTTCAAAACCGATCGTTCTTGCGCAAGACCTCTGGCCGCGGCTCCGCTCTCGGCGTTGGGAGGGTGAGAGGGCTCAGGAACAACCTCCCAGTTGCTATCAGGTGCCAGATGGATGGTTGCACTGGTAGCGCTGACAGATGGCAGCGGCTGCCCCACGGTCACTGGCTGAGCTGGTGCCTCCACGTGAGCTCCCGTCCCCTCGGGAAAACAAGAGCAGCTCACCTTCCTTTCGTTACGTGCGGGCAAATACGGGGCTTCTACACCCAAATTTGAGTCTAGGCACAGAACGCGGGGTGAGGTGGGTTGGAAGGGACCCTGGTCTGATCCATCGCTCAGAGCAGGACCAGCTTCAGGCTGGGAACAGGCCCTTGCTCAAGACTTTGCCCAGTCAAATTGTGAGTTTCTCTTAAGGGTGGAGATCTTGGTGATCCTCTGGGCCAGTGGTCAAGAGCTTGGCAACCCTCGTGTTAAATAATAATAAAAAGTGAATCCTATATCTAATGAGACTTTCCTTTGCTGCAGCGTGTGTCCGTTGCCTCATGTCCTTCTTCTGTGAACTTCTGGTGCTATCTCCTCTGTAATCTCTCCTTAGGTAGTCGAAGGCGGCGATTAGATTTCACCCCATTTTCTGCCGTCTCTCCTCCAGGCTAAACAAACCTCGCTGCTTCTGCCTCTCCTCGTATGTCATATGGTTGTCCCCTTCTATTTTTTTCCTTCTGTTCCCTCAGTTCTTTGCCAGAAATCGTAACCCACGTTGCTGCCATGGACGCATGCAAAAGCTCGCTCTTTTTCTTCTGCGTTGTCCTCAGTGCCCTTCCTGAACTAACCTGCAAACCCTGCTTTTACCCCTCATCATCGACTTGTCTTATATCGCTGAGAGGAAATGATCAGCTGATAACAGCAGGGGGGTTGCTAATGAGGATTAATTATACCGGGAAAGGTACAAACCATGTTGAGTCGGTACTATTTGTGCTACGAGAGTATCCAGAGGAGCTAATCAACTCAGAGCTGACGTTACACGGACTTAGAGGAAGAAGCGGTACTCGCCATCGGCAGAGAACAAACTGCGGGTGTACGTGCTCTGCGTAAAGACGAAGAAGGGACTGTTAATACTTAAGTTTTATTGCTCTGTTTGCTTCAAAGCATGAGTTGGATGTCCTTTGCTCGTGTGCGTAACCAGGTTTTTCCTTATCGATGTTCTTGCCCTCCTCTGATGGAGCTGGCACTCGGCACATCATCAACCATCACCTCCCAAATCAGTTTTTATTCTGCTCCCTAAGGTAGGGGATGTATTATATTACAACCCTGTGCTGGACTGTGTTGCAATACGGTCATCATGCTTGCGCTCAGTTCATAGAGGAGACCAGTTGACTTTTTGTCCTAGCAGCCTGTCCTCTAAGTATTTATTATTTTTCTGTATTTGTTTTGTTTGCATCCACAATAATTTCTAGAGTACTGATTGGAAAAAAAAAGAAAAAAAAATTGGTGTAAAGTGAGGAGCAAATATATTTGGGATTTTGCTAGAAATGTGTCTGCTGAATGATGTTCCCTTGTTCACATTTACTCCATGAGCCCATCGGCGAGCCAGCTGATCCTTGGGTTGCGTGAGAATTGATTAATCAAAATGTCTTTGTGGTAGAAAGTCAGATTTCTTAGAGAAATGTAAATTGCGTTGTATCAAAATTGCTTTTGTTCACTAAACTTGTAAACCCCTTCAAAAACACCAAATCAATTTGACAAGATGGACAAAGAGTTTCTATTTTAGGGTTTTGAAAAGTGTAATCCCCTCTGAGTTAAATCGAAGTCTATAAAGGAAGTTTAGAGCAGAAAGTTTCTTCAGTTCTTCACTTTCTTGGTTCTTTTTTCTTAAACTGTTTCTGGTGGACTGAAGAATGTAACTTTTTTTTCCCCAGTAATTCAAATGTCCTTTAAAACTCACTTACTTAAGCTGAACAACTAATATTTCTTAACATCCTGTACCCGAGCTTCATGGGTGTTGAATGATAACAACAGTCTTTAGGTTTTAAAAAAGGGAAAGGCATTTGCACCATGGCTGATAGCATGGTCTGTCTTTCCGGGACTAGATGCTAAAATAATTTTTTAACTTCCAAAGTACTTCTTCACTGTAATGGTAAAAAAGGTGTTATTTCTTTTGAGGCTTCTCAGTCTGTGTTCTCTTGAAATACGGCTTTTAGAGTCATGCTCACCGGTGACATAATCATTAAAAATGACTGAATGGCTCATGAGACACATTTTAATAAGTTTATGGTTTGTCCTTAAGTTCTGCCATCTCCAGAAGGAAGAGCTGAGGAGGTTTTGGGGCAAGTCCCCTTGATCCGGAGGGCTCTGCGGGCAGGCAGGATTGTCCCGTCCTGGTGCTGCAGCCGCTGGGTCTGTCTGTAGTGCAAGATGGTTTCAAGAAAAATTGTACTTTGCAGTGTTGTCAGCTCTCAGTAACGAGTTTTGTTTGTTTGTTTTTTTTTTAAAAGTGTCATTGTAATTGCTTTTTCTTCAAAAGCCCCTATTTGGGATTCATCTTGTTGCACAAGAATTGTAGCTTTTCCTTTAAGAAAAGAAATCGGAGATGTCTCCTTATTTTCTCTCCCCCTTTTTTTATTTTTTGGCACAGATTCATTTTTAGTCTTTTGTAATTTCTGGTTTTGGTTCGTTTGTTTTTACTCTTGTAGTTGTGAGTATAGGTGAGGTGCATGGACTGTTTTTTAATAAGGGAGAAATGGTGCCATTTTGCATACATGTGTGTCCAGGTGGATCAAAGCATTTAAAAATTAGAAGAGAACTGTTTTGCGTTGCATTTCGATAGACTGAGAAGCCAATGTACTACTGATTTTTCAGTATCACCTTTGTCCTTTCACTTCTCTGTGATCTGTACTCTGTATTTTCACTCTTTCGTGGCTCCTGTCGTCTTCCTTTTGGACTTGTTTTCTGCTCAGTAGAGCTTCTTACGCTTTTGATCTCTGCCACGCTGGCAGGTTGTGTCTCAGGAGAAAAGCATCACCATGATGCTTGCATAGCAAATCAAGGAAAAGTAATAGAGGAGATGCCCTCTATTTTGAATAATTCCCATTTCTCTATGGTGTAGGGGAGAGAGCGGGGCAGGCGGTGTGTGCAGGGCAATAGAGAAGTTGGATCTCCTGGATATTGTTTTTCACTCTGCTACTGACTCTACAAATCCAGTACACAGAAAATAGAAGTTCTTTCAGGGCAAAACAGAGGTTTGCCTTTCAAGGTCTTAGAAACAGTGTCATTGGACAGCTTAGCTGAGTAGGAGTATTTATTTGCTTTGGAGTAGTGATGATTGTGAAATGTTTTGAAACCTAATTTAAAAAAAAAAAAAAAAGAAACGGCACATTGTAAAGTAGGCTAATCTTGGCCAGAGTCGAGTCTCTGAGAGATTTTTGGATTGTAGTTTATAGGAAGTTTTGCACAATCCTTTATCATTCTCATTCTATTGGATTTTTTTTTTTTTTTCATGGCAGGTAATGTAAATCTGTTTGTGGTGGTTTATTCAAAATGATGCTGTGCACACACTAATTTATTCTCGGCTTTCAAGGTTCAACCTTTCAAGGACCTGATCGTTTTTGTTCTGTTGTGTTCTCTTCATGGCTTTCTCTGAAAGAATGACAATCTATTAAGTTTCATCAGGCTGTTTTAAACTTCTGTAGGTGGGATAACATCCTCTTTAGTGTATTTACATACGAGTCGTTAGAAAAGGATGGAAAGAAAGGAGCAAACAGGAGATGTGGTGAGAGCATCCGCTACGGAGGTGCCAGCGTTCTTCCCAAACAAATCCCCAAATCAAGATTTCTAAGCGAAAACAAATGATTGTCCTGTGCTAGTCCTTTCATTAGGAAAGGTTATTGGGGCGGGGACTTTTGTCTTCTTTCCCTACCACTATTCACTCTGTACTTCTATTCTTTGCTGCTGTTATTCTCCCCTCTCCAGGGTCTTCCAGTTAGGTTGCCTTGTAATACTAATGGTAAGTGCTGCAAGAATAAGACTGAAGAAGAATAAGCCAGAACAAAGAAATTTTCTCTTGTCCCTGGGCTGTAGTTTGCCTTCCCCTGAATTATATTCAGACGCCTGTTTTCCTGTGGCAGAGACGTGCCGTCCTACAGTTTGCATTACAAAGGAGAACTATGAACCAAATATCAAGGAGAAGTTTATTAGACCTTTTTGTTCTTTGGTGTTGTGGGAGACAGTCTTTTGGGAAAGATGATCTTCAGTTCAGAAGTCTCAAATTTTAGAACGAAACAGGCACTTCTTAGCCATGGAGAAAAAGGCAGCGAATTTTGCCTTTTGATCCCATATCCTTGATATCTGAAAGAGGAAAAAATAATTGGCTTTCTCACAAGGAACTATTTATCGAGCTAGATACCTGCAAATGTGCTGGAGCTGTTTAGCCAAAACATGGGATCAGGTTACTGCCTTTTTATGGCATGTTGGTAAAATGAACGATAGCTTTTTGTCCGCAATAAGACATGTTGTGCAAGAAGGGCCATTGTACAGTTTCCAGACTTACTCCACTGTAGGTAACATGTTCATATGTTACTTCTAGTGCAAATAGCCCCAATTTCTACAGCAAAAGTTGTTGGAAAGACTCACTGGGTGTCTGTGTTCTTCTTTGACCACACCACTGTATTGTATTGCGGGGACAGAAAAATTCAGGTCACAAAAAAGTGCTTTACAGTCGATGTGAATGGGTTGCTGTGGATAGCTGTGAGTGTTTTCCTTGGGTCTAGAAACTCATTTATGCTGTCCTGGGGAACTCTCTTCAAATGCATTTGCTTTCTGTTCTGCATAGATCTGAAAAGAGGAAAAGTAAGTTCTTTTCAGGGGGAAAAATTCTTTTCATTGTTGCTTTTTAGTCGATGGTGCCCTTGGATATTCAGAAGTCGCAGGGCACGAAATCAGGCTCGGCTGCTTTCCCAGGAGAGCTGCCGCCTGCCTGCAGCCCCGGAGCGGCCGGAGCTGCCTTCGGTTCCCTTCCCGACACGCTCTGCTCGGGGCTTTGGAGTCTCTCCTCTTCAAAAAGCTGCAACTTAGCCTTTGAAAATAGGGCTGAGGCTGGGGGAAAGATGGTTCTGTATAAGAAAATAACAGCTGCCTATGAACAGGTGGTAGCAGACAATGCGCTTTGGTTAGATGAAGGCTTTTAAAAAAATAAATTCGATAGACTTCAAATTTATGCTTGCTCTTATGTCTTTTGTATGAGGGAGGAATTGACTTTTGTTTTGTTGTTGTCAGACTTCTGTTAAAAGAAGAATAAACATTCTCTTTCAGATACAAACTATTTTGTGCAATAGGTAAATAGGTAGTAGGTACTCTTTTGGTGAGACATTTAGTCTCCTCATCAGCTTACTCCAATTATTTTGGCAAACCATTCTATAAATCTATACTGTGTCCAGTCTCGAATACTGTAAATAGTCTTGTCCACCATCCTCGCTTCTCTCCGCTAGCCCTAGAAAACTAAAAGGCTGGAGGATCTTACAGAACATGGAAGGGTGTAGAGAAACAGCCAGAGGCGACCAGAAGTGCAAACCAATGGATGAGGTGGGAATAGTGAGTGTGACAGCCTTTTAGAACAAAAAAGACAACAAATGCAGATGTGGTAAGTCAGATGGAACTTTATAAAAGAGTGGATGGCAGGAAGGTGGTGAGTAAGGGTGATTGTACTTATTTCTCATAGAGGAAAAGCCCAACAGGCAGCGGTGGATGATCAGGCAGCAGATGTAAAGCGAGTGTACAAAGTCCTTTCTCTACCATTGCAGAGTTAAATTGTCCTCCCTGCTGCAGATTTTCCAGGTGAAAAGGGTATAGATGGTTGAGAAAGGAATTGGATAGGATAGAAGCATGGATGAATGGTTTATTTAAATGCGCTGACTTGGGTGCATTCTCCAGGTCAAAGCACCCGAACCGTGGGTTTCTGGAAGCAGGATAATACGTTGCCAAAATGCTCTGTACTTGCTTTAGTTGTCATAGTCTTTCCCAAGCATTTGCTGTCGCCCATAGTCAGGAGGAGATACGGGGCTTGGCAGACCTTTAGTTTGGCTTGGTACAGCAGGTTTTATGCTTTTTGGGACACTCTAATTTCTGTTTTCAAATATGCCACCTTGTTTTAGGAATGGGTCCTGTTTAAATCATGGCAGAATTATAAGAGAGGGAAAGTAGGCTTTTGGTAATAATAACTGGAATTCTAGACAGCGTCAGATTTACTCGGGTTAAACACTTTTAATATACATTTATCTTTCCAAAGAGCCAAGTTGATTACTTCAGGATTTTCTGTTTGTCTTCCTTTCTGCCACCCTTCCTTCTTGTAGACCAAAGTCATGCATGGTGAGGGCAGCAGCAATGCTACTCTCGATAGCCTCAGTATCCTGATTTGTCTGCACTTCTTGGTCAGTAACATGGACACTATATTGCAGATGATTAAGCCAAGCAAGAGGGCTTAATAAACTGATCCCTGAAGAATGTGGTTTTATCTTTCTGAGAGGGTGTTGAGGGTTCTTATGCCATTGAGAATGGGGTTGTTCTGAGGGTTGGCTGAGTGTGCATACTCACCATGTGGAGACATTTTCTTTTGAATATTTAAGGAGTTGTGTTGAAGAAAAACGATCTGATAATGCTGCTCTGTGAATATTGTTACTTTATGCAAATTCATTATACTTCAAATAAATGCAAATAAATGCCTGGATTTTCAGTTGTCTTATTAATACTGATGCATTTACTATTGTTGTTTTGCTCCCTTTTATTTAACTTCTAACAATGGTGTTTTGTTTTTTTTCTTTTCCAGTGGTCTTATTGTTCCTGAGAAAGATAGCAATGAAACTGTACCAGAAGTTGTAGCTACTTCTGGATATGCCCTTCTGCATTTCTTCAGCGATGCTGCCTATAATTTAACAGGGTTTAACATCACATATAAGTAAGTAGTACCATTCCAAAGTGATGTTGCAGGTTGAGCAAAAGGAGGTTTCCTCTTTTCTCAGTTTTGTCTTGAAATAAGCAATTGCCATAAGCATGTAATTATGAGTAGATACTTGAATTTAGATTTTTATCTTTATTATACCCTTGCAACAGCTAATAACTGTAATGTGCTCAACATTTAACTTCAGTTGTCAATTGTAAGCGTGGGCAAATATTTGCTCAAAAAGACATAATATTATTTATTTTTATGTTACTAGATTTATTTGATCATATTCAATCAACCAGAATTGATGTATTTTGTGCGTGTGTGTGCTCTTACGCGTTCTGCAGAGATACTTCTGCACAAACACACTTTTGCAGAAGCACACTTGTTTCACTTGGGACACTGGCCTGTACCTACTGTTGAGGATCCTCAAGCAGTTTTCTTTGGGATGCTCTTTCTTATTCAGTCCTGGCATTGAATCGCTTAATCTGGGTCCTTTATACTCTGGAATGGTTTTATTGTGTTCTTTCATTTGTATTTTAAATATTATAGGTGGGTGCTTTCTGTTCGCTAACAGATATTTAGCCCTCATTTGGTGAGCTTTTTAAAAATAATTCTAGGGTACTCCCTAATTCATGGACTGTTTTTAGAAAGGTTTTGTTTTGATGTAAACGATCTCATTGTGGACATACTAGCAGATATGAAATTTCTTGCTTCTGGTGGGGATCATGGGCTTTGAATTTTTTGCTCCCACAGATAGATATTATGTTTGTGCTGCACTGGGAGATTTTAATTTGGGTGTACCTTGCAGAAGTTTTCACCTCTCTTTCAAAAAAATCAGCTGAAAATTCTTGGTCACAACTGACTTTTTGCAAAAATTGAATTTTCCTTAAAACGAGGTGCTTAGTTTTTCAATACCAGTATTGGTGCTTTCATCCTTATTAAGCACTTAAATATGCAGTGGATTCTTTGAAAAACGCAGAACATGCAGCACCCCTTGAAAGCTCCAGAAGAAAATGAGGAGCCTTTGCAAAGTTACTTGAAACACAGCAGCTGAGGCAGTAGCATTTTGAAAGTCTGGCTGATACCATAAACCATGACACCATCTACTGCCAGCTGTCTGTATTGCACCATTGCAATACAACGGAGACCTGCTCTTAAAGTATAACTTGCTGTTTTTAAGTTCCTTTGAGATATTTTAATATTTCTGTAACTCTTCACTTTCTTGATCATTTCAAACGGTTTTCAAGTACTGGTTTGTGTTTTGTTTCTTCTGTGTGTTCTGGTCTTTAGGTTTCCTCCTAACATTTTTGCAGAGAGTAGATAAAAGGGTGTATTTATTTCTTTTCAGTTTATCAGTCTTTATAGTTACTACTGGACACAGATACTTGACAAACACTTGTGAAATGACGGTCTTGGAGGCTGTGACTCCTCCTGTCGCATGACAGGGAGAATATTGGGTAGTAATGCCCATCTGTGAGTTATACTGGTTGATACACTGGCAAAAACTGGAATTTGGAAATGAATAGGGTCTCTGAATTAGGATCTTCACCGAGGGCGTATCTGGTTTTGCCTCAGCTATGTTGCAGATATTATAAAATCAGAACTTATTCAAAACAGGCACATCTTTGGCTTGGGATTCATCTCAAGTGTGTTCCTCTGGTAAGCAGATCCCAGAATAGCATGTAATTGTGAGTAGTTTAAGTATAAATTGCACAGACACCACAAAAGCCTTAAGCACTGATTAAATTCTTCACTTACTGTTGGGTGTTTTAAGGCAATTCATTTGCATTACAAATGGCTAAAAACCATACTGATAATTTTTCAGAGGAGTTCTAAATTTAACTCATTAAGTGAGGCAGCTCTGCAGATGGTAGGCAACAAATCTCTACAGGTCTGTCACATCAGATTCTAGATGAGCAGCTCTTGTTGGTTTGTGTGTTAACAAACAGCTGTATTAACTTTTGTTCAACTTTACTCTTGTATTCCTTAATAAGAGGTATGGCTTGGGAATCTGTTTCATTACTGACGGACCTTCTTTCCCTGATGTTTGCAGTTTCAATATGTGTCCCAATAATTGCTCCGGCCGAGGAGAGTGCAAACTCAATAACAGCAGCAATGCTCTTGAATGTGAATGTGCCAAATATTGGAAGGGAGAAGCTTGTGATATTCCGTACTGCACAGATGACTGTGGGGCACCCGAGAGAGGACACTGCAACTTTAATGATACTAAAGCATGTGTGTGCTCTGCAGGCTGGCAAGGTAAGTCTCCTGATTAATACAGAGAAGCTCTTGGATGCCTTTTCTATGTATGGCTCCTGCAGTTTAATTGGGAGTATTTGAGAATGTTCCCTGTGACAAGCACTGGCATTTTGACTAGGAACGGAGTATCTGCCTTTTTATATCAAAAGATCACACTGCATTTGTAACAAATGCTTTTAAAAGCAACTATGCTACCATACAACGCAGTACCAATCTCTTGTGTGCAGGCATCAGGTAAGAACTTTAAGCGTTGTTCCTGTACACTTAAAGCAAATTTGAGCCTCGTGGCAGTAGTTAACCTGTTTGAACACACACAATGCCTTGTTCTCCTGTCCAGCTGTGCTGGTCAGCCATGTCAGGCTTAGCAACAGTTTGGACCAAACATGCCTGTTTCCTTTACAAAGATACACTGATGTGGAAGAATTAGTCTCATGAAATGCAGCCAGCTACAGCACTGGCAGCACCTGCTACCACTACTTAGCTATGCCGCAAAACCAGACGGTATGTTAGGCGCTGTGGAAAGAATCCAAAATGAGTATCCCAAGGAGAACGCACCCAGTACTGAGGTTAGCATGTCTGCTTCTCGGATAGAAAACCAGGCACAGGTAATATGCTTCAGGGCTGGAAGACCATATCCCCTTATGCAGTGCAGTCTGGTTGTACGCTGACAGCAAAGGTGGGCTTATGGTTGCTCAGTTTTTAGCCTACCCCTGTTTTTTCCCCATCTTTCATGTCTGTAGCAGGTTAGTGTGTCAGGGGAAGAAAAAAAACCCAAACCAAAACAACCCACCAAAAAAAAAGCTCTAAAACAAACCGTAGCAGAATGAGATGCAAGCTGCTCTCCCCTTTCTTATTCTGAAGCTTGTATACATCTGGAAATGGTCACTCTATCTCAGAAACAAGGAGTTTTTCAAGGGCGATAAGTCTGCTTTCCTGAACTGGAAATTATTACTGGTAGAAACTCGGCAAGAATGAGCAGATGCTGTCTCTTGCAGTCAAAACCACAACTCTGTTACACGGTGATTCACTTCTATGACTGCCTAAAGGCTGTCCTGCTAAACCCCTTCCATTTTCAAAGCCTGAGCCTTTCAGCAGGTTCTGTGCTCTCTGCTGTCTGTAGTAACCCTGTGCGGGTGGATGGCTGTCACTGAGAAGCAGGGAGAGCATCCGTGCGGCTGTTGACTTTGCTGAGACCTTGCCGCTTGCTGTTCCTCTTCTGCCTCGCCATGGGGAACTGTGAAGAGAAGGCTGGTAGTGAAGAATTTGGTTTAAGAGCAGCAGAAATATAGAAAAAAACCAAGTGAACAATTGGCAAAAATGTGTTGCTGGGAAGGAGAGGACTGAAAAGAAGAAAAGATAGCCATAGACCCTTGATTTTTTTTTTTAATTTTTTTTTTTTTAAATGGCATGCTGCTGAGCAGGTCTCCTGAAGCTTTCATTGTGTTAGGGCTTCTGTGGGCACATGGTAGCTAGAGAAGTGCTGGAAGACACCCTGTTAGTGTGGAGTGGGAAGGGGTCTGCGCCATGCCCCCCTGTAATCACAGTGGGGGAGAGCAGAGCCCTGTCTGCTTTGCATCACTGATTCGTCTAGTCTGGAACTGCTTTTTAGTTCTGAAAACAAATTTAGGTTTGAAGTATGTGGTTACAGCTGGGAGATCACATACCAGGTCCATCACAGATTGCTGGTGTGGGCAAGGAAACGAGGATCACAGCTTTCGCCTGTTACCTGGCCGTGCACCATCTTTGTCACCTGTGGTGCAGGATATTGACCTCTAGCTGAAATACAGACTTTGGAAACAATTAAGTTAATTTTTAAACCTTATTTTTCCCAGGTCCTGGCTGTTCAATTCCTGCTCCTGCAAACCAGTCGTTTTGGACCCGGGAGGAATACTCTCTTCCAAAACTTCCTAGAGCATCTCACAAAACCGTAATCCATGACAATAAAATGTGGATCGTTGGAGGCTATGTCTTCAATCATTCTGACTCTCAGAAGGTTTTAGCGTGAGTATAAACCTAGATAATTAAGTCGAAGTAGAGGAACTTAGATTTGAGAATTATTTTTAGAAAATGCCATCCGACATTCTGTGCTTTGACCTATGCTCCATCTCCAAGGGAAAACAGCAGTAATAAAAATCTGGACTCATGTTTGAGAGGTGGGAAAACACTGCTAAGGGGTGCTAATTTTTGAGAAGAAAAAGCAAAAGGTTCCTGATGTTCAGTGAGGTTTTGATTCATCTGCTTCTGACAGCATTTAACTATTCACTATATATTTCTAGGCTAGCTTCGAAGTTAATCTGACCTCGTATTCAGAGAGGGTAGTTTTGCTTCTGTCTTATTAGCCCTTCCTTATATCTGTGTGACTTCAGAGTGTTTGGCTTCTTAATTAATACGTACTGATTACTGTACATGTTTATGCTTAGTGGATGGGATACTAAACAGGGAGTGGCATTTAGGATGATGACATTTATGCAGTTAGTTGAGGAGATTTAATAGTAACTAAGATACCAAATAGTAATTGTGTACCTCACGGAAATCCCCCATAAAAAAACATTTCGGGCCTCCTCTTGAGCTTGGTAGTATTTGGGCAGATTTAGGTAAAAGCTGGATTTCTTCCCAGGGATACCTGCATACCTCACTTTCATGGACCTAAGCGAGAGCTGTGTGCTCTGCATGCACATCCAGAGGTAATAGTTCTTGTAGGGGAAATTAAAGAGGAGCTGAAAATACACTTAGTTGTCGAATAGTTGCTGATTACATCCTCAATTTACTCTTTCAAAGTCATGCCTGATTTTTCAACAGATACCCTGTGGCTTCACTGAACACTTTCTCAGAGATTATTTTATCTTAGAAGGCTGTAAGCGGGGCAAGTATAGTTCATTCTTTTATCAAAAAAGCCACAGGCCATCTTCAAGGCTAATGGTTTATTTTGTTTCAAGTTCACAGAAAAAACACGCTTGAATGACAAAGACGTAATTAAAAAATGCCTTTTAAACACTGGCAGGTTTGGGGTTTTTTTTTCATCAAGTAGTTGGAACTTAGCTTCGCGTAAAGTTTTTCTGCTCTTTTGGGTGGATCATGTGGTGTAAGTTGTCATAGTTTAATAGACAATGCATTAGCTCTTGATTTTGCATGGAAAAGATGAGTCATGGTAAAGCAAATCAATATGTGGACATTAAGTAACAGAGCAGGCTTGACTGGATTTTTTAATCCATAAGTAGTCTGTGAGTGCTTTGTGCATGCTCAAATCTTGGTAGGACTTTTGCTAAATAAAATAATTTCCCATAAATCCTGGAAAGGATGAGCAATAATTTTCTTGACTGTATTGTCTACCTCTCAGATAATTAAATCAATTTTTATTATACAGGTATGATCTTATTTCTGAAGAGTGGCTTCCACTGGACAACACTGTGAACTCCGTAGAGATGAGATATGGTCATTCGCTGGCACTACATAAGGTAAGTTCAGCGCTGCAGACTCACCTCCTGGCTGATTTCCCCTTCTCACCCACCCCCCCACGCCGTTTCACAGATCAGTCTTGTTTTGGGAGAAGCATTTCTCCTTCAAAAGCTTGTCCATGGTTAGCCGAGTCTGTGTACTTGTATTCCAGGGAGTCCTTGGAGTGGTATCCTAGGAAGTCCGTAGTGCCTTTGCTTGTGTTCCTTCTTTGCCCTTTTCTCAGATATTTTTAAGGCTGACTGAGGTCAGTGAGTCCATTATTTCCTTCTTACTGTCTGCGATTGCAAAACATGCCTGATGGCTAGAGTTTGCTGGAGTTCAGCTGGTTCCCCAACTGCCTTTTGTGTAGACCATGTAAATATTTTCATGAGCTCTGTTGTCCAAGGCAGGAAAGCAGAGCTGGTGAATTAGGGATTTTTGGAGCCTGCTCTGCTTCTGCAGTAGACGCGTGATTCTATTCTTCTGGCACCTGAAATGGCAAGTGGATTCAACTTTTTCTTAACTCATTTCTCACCTGCATGCCTTGCTGTGGTTGTAGGCCACGTTAGAGCAGAATGGCAAAGTCTTTGAAAAGGAAATGAGCTAATCCTTTACTGACCTTTGGTTTTGGAACGTTAATTAGCTCATCACAGTGCAAACCTTTATAAAGCATAATTATAAACACTCAAAAAACTCCACAGAGCACTGTTCACAAACAGAACACTTGAAGAACCTGAGAAGGATGGAGATTCCTGCCCAGGAGGGCTCCATGCACATTCTGCAAATAACTGTTCAGAAGTAGGGTGCGATCCAAAAGAAGGATTGTGTCCAGAGAAGGTCAGCGAAGCTGGTGAAGGGTCTAGAGGACAAGTCTGATCAGGAGTGGCTGAGGAAACTGGGGTTGTTTAGTCTGGAGAGAAAAAAAGGAGGCTGAGGGGAGACCTTATCGCTCTCTACAACTACCTGAAAGGAGGTTGTCGCGAGGTGGGGGTCGGTCTCTTCTCCCAAGTAACAAGTGACAGGACGAGAGGAAAAGGCCTCAAGTTGCACTAGGGGAGGTTTACACTGGATATTAAGAAAAATTTCTTCACTGAAAGGGTTGTCTAGCATTGGAACAGGCTGCCCGGGGTAGTGGTGGAGTCATCATCCCTGGAGGTATTTAGAAGACGTGTAGATGTGGTGCGTGGGGACAGGGTTTAGCGGTGGACTTGGCAGTGCTAGGTTAACGGTTGGACTTGATGATCTTAAGGGTCTTTTCCAACCTAAACGATTCTCTGATTCTGTGATAAATGGGTTTACCATCAGTGATGGGCAGTGGTTCTGCCCAAGAAGCACCAGCTACAGTAGAGAATTTCCCTTTCCAAGGTTACCACCTTGTCAGTAGGGAAACAGGGCTCTGCTGCACACTTTGGTCGATTCATGACTGACTCCAAGGTCCTCATTTTTTGTCAGTACATTAACTTGGAAGACAAAGCTTTTGGTGTACAGACACAGAGGAGTTTCCATCACAGCTGCCTTTCTTCCCAGCTATCTTCTGCTGATTGTGTTTGTAAGCTATGGGAGGGATTCAGCTTGCTTATTAAGTCACCTGACGTCAGGTGCCTAACTTTGGGTGCTTTTGGGAGCCTCTGAGCTTTGTTTACAGTGAAAACAGACCTAGTCAGTACAGGTAGTGAAATCTCAAGAGCAAGTCAGCTCACCCAAAAGTAGGCACAAATTCTCTGCTTTTGATCAGTTGAATTATTCTCCAGGCTCTGCTATATTTTACATATATATACTGAGACACTTAGCTAGCATACAGGCACCTAAATTTTGATATCTGTCATCTGAAGGTCAGTCCTGCCTCACACACCCCTTCCCCTCTGTACCTTGATGTAGGAAGAACTGTGTGTGTTGAAGGTATTCTGACATTACAGGCTTGGGTACAAACCTTGGCAGTCGTGTTTGCTTTCATATCAAACATGACTGGTGAAGGAGATAAGTTTCTCCTTGAGAGAGGAGAAAAACTTAGGCTGTGAGACGATAAAACATAACAACTTCGTCGCTTACATATTGGCTGTTTCCTAAATGCCAAACTCGTTAGCCTCATTTTAAATCTAATTTCTTTCAGGATGATATATACATGTATGGTGGAAAAATAGATGCGACGGGGAACGTGACCAGCCAGCTGTGGGTGTTCCACATTCCCACCCAGACCTGGGCTCAAGTGACGCCGAAAGCCAAGGAGCAGTACGCTGTTGTTGGCCACTCGGCACACATCGTCACCCTGCAAGACGACAGCGCCGTCATGCTTGTCATCTTTGGGCACTGCCCTCTTTATGGGTACATCAGCAACGTCCAGGAATACAACCTAGGTGAGCGGGGCCCTACCTACCATTTGCTTCAATTTTAACAGTTGGTTTGAAAATTAAGTGATTCATATTCAGATAGCAAAATCAAGACAGATCTATTCTCCTTCCATTTGTATTTATGAGAAGTTCGATCTAACTTCCAGTGTTTGTATAACACAAACAGTGAGCAGGCAGCCACGTGCCTCCAGCTTTGTACAGCTTGTTAGGTCCCAAAGACAAAAAAGCTATAATTGAGAGACAAAGCGTGATAACTGTGGGACAATTTAGATTAATTTTCCTCTCTCCCTCTGACAAAGGAAACGCTTTTGAAATTATTTTTGTATCCTGCAAATACGAGAATGGCTGTAACAATTCAGACCAAGTATCTGCTTAACCTGATACCCATGTCTGCAGTAGCGAATGCTTAGGGGAACAGGCAGTGACTTTCTAGACTCCTGTATCTCTGATATGATCTGATCCCCATATCTCCAGGAATAGTCCAAACTCTGATTTTAGGATCCAGAAATTTCTAGTATCACCAGTGGAGAAGCATAGGAAGCTCTCCAGATGAACTGAACTTCTACCGAAGTTAGCTGCTCTGAAATGGCTCTCTGGAGGCATGTGCCTTGCTCCACTGACAAGGTAGAGAACATAGTTAAGCAGAGGAAGTTCACAATGTTGAACGTGCTGGTTATTGTCAGAAATAGTGGCCCTATCTGCACGTTCAACCTGTTATCCTCGTGCTTCAGTCATCCTGATCCAGAGGACCTACGGGAGCCTGCCCTGGTTTGCTGGTGTCCACATGAGCGAGCTTTCTTCCTCTAGAAAGCTAAAGAAAACCAGGATGTGTGGGGCAGCGATTGTTTTCCTGCTGTTCTATTTCTCCCACGTGTGATCTGGCAGACTATACGGTTGCTTTGCCTTTTGTGTGCCTGATTTGCCCTGGAGTTAGGAAGCCTGTGTAGGGTTTCATTCTGCACTTGCTACAGAGAATTGGCGTGTAATTTGGCATTTTTGTTTCAGTTTCCATTATATTATGTCTAGAGTGCTTCAAACCAATGTTTTTTTAGCGAGTGAGATATAGGACCATTAATCACATATTATTTTTTAACTGCAATGTTCTTCATAGTCATACTCAACTTGGCTTCAGTGCTGTCTGACTTGAGATAGATATAGATATATATATATAAAAAAAATAAAAGTGCTCTTGGGTACCATTCCAAATCAAGTCATGGTGCTGGCATTTTCATGTCATTGAAATGCAATATATTATTTCTGTACTTTTTTATCTTTCACTTAGCTTGTCTGCAAAATGTAATAAATGACTGTAGAAGGGATATTTCTGGTCTAATTAAAAATACTTGACAATACTTCTTGATAATAAACTCCTTCAAGGAGAATATTTTTGAATATGAAGTCATAGAGACAGTGTCTAGATCTGAGTCAAGGCAAACCCAGTTGTTTCACCACCAGATTTATTGATAAGTTATTAATGGAGATAAATTAACCATGTTCTCTCACTCACATTTTTCATTTCTCAGCCACAAATACATGGAACATTTTACAGACGAGTGGAGCTTTGGTGCAAGGAGGGTATGGTCACAGTAGTGTTTATGATCCAAATACAAGATCAATTTATATCCATGGAGGTTATAAAGCATTCAGTGCTAACAAATACAGGCTAGCAGATGACTTGTACAAATATGAAGTTAATTCCCGTATGTGGTAAGTAGTCTTCTTTCTCTATACCACCCTGTCATTTTTGTTTGTATTGGACAAGGGGATGGGATATTTTATAAGGCTATAGTAGGACATAGTTACCTGCATTCAGGATAGATAGTATGCTCTTGTATCTGTTATTTTTATGTCCATTTATGAATGGAGAATCATATAATCACAGATAATCAAGCCTGTGAATGAGCCAAGAAATCCATTTTAATCTATTGTTGTATTAAAGCTGAAAAGAAAAATATTTGATGGGTTTTTCTTGCCAGCAGTACAGACTGTGCATATGAGTGCAGTTACTGCAGTCAAGTGAGTGATAATTCATTCTGCAGTTAAGACTGCAAAAGAATTTCTATTATAACCCCATTTTCTTCTGGCTCTGTAACTGCTTGAAACGTTCATTTCTGAAGCTGAAATCTTCTGTGATTTGTTTCTTGCCCAAAGGTGACTCTTATTAAAAAGCTATAGCAAAACTTCACAACTTTGAGCTATAGAGCTGAAACACATTTTCCTCAATTTTTTTGTTTCTTCAAGTTGTTTTTAAAGGCCCCTGACAAAAAAGAGTGATCTTTTGAATTAACACATGTAAATTTGAGTCACCATATCTCTTTTTTTGACAGTTTAAAATAGCTTGTATTTCTGCAACAACTGTTTATGAGTCTATATTCACGAGTAACGTTAACTCGTGACTAATTTCCAAAAACCTTCCTTCCTGCTCTGTTGTACATGCAGTCATAACCACGCTTCCTTTCTTGGCTGCTTTGATCCTCCACTTCAGCCACAGAGTGGGCAAATCCGGCTGAATAGGCAGAAAATGTCCACAAATGCGACAATATTCTTCCAAACTGCTGCAGCACCAACTTCCTTGCGTCGCGTTTATTTTGTCAGTCTCAAGCGGACTCTCGGAACAGGCGAGCAGTCACCTTGCAGCGAGGCGTGTAGGAGTGTCTGCGCCTCTTTATCTAGACTTTTTTTTGGTGTCATTGACTCCTTTTTTTAATTCTTCAGTAATTTAGGCCCTCTCTCCCTCTTGTGACCTCATGCAGGGGCAGAAAAGCAGTCCCCCTGATCTTTATTTTTGGCAAGTGTGTTTCTCCCCATGTTCTCTCCGGTGTTTCAACTGGCAGCTTCAGTCTGACCCTGTAGCCGTGGCAGGGACAGAGGAATGCTCAGAAAACCCGTGTGCTGCGATACCGCTGCTCGGGCATTCGGAACAGGTCCCTGGTCCAGGTCCTTGATATACCATTTGCTGAATATTTCCTTGTGAAAGTCTGGGCTTCGGCGCAAAGCGGCGTTCGGGATGCCGCTGTTCGCGCAAACGTGGCTTCATCGGGATTTTCCTGCCACCCCGTCCTCTCAAAATAGGGGAATTCTACAAAGGGTGACCCTTTGTGTTCAGTGCCGGTAATTGTGCTGATTAAAGGTGAGGTCAGTGGCGAGTTTGATTAATGCTTCCCATGATTTAGTCATGGATGAGGCATTGAGTTTTGCAGGCGTTAAGCTGCAGAGCAGCTGCATAGTTTTCTTTAAAATAGATTTGTTAGTTTTGAGCAAGAGATGATGCCCAGTTTGAAAGAATTCTTTAGGTTACTAAAAGTTACTATAAAAGTAGAGTTACTATAAAATATTGGAGTCCTCCCAGGCAGTGTCCATATAAGCAGGTTTAGCTGACTATGCTCAAAAGACCAGTTAGTGTGAAAATTTGATAATCCCTAGGGAAGGAATTGATGATTTTAAGATCCATAGCTTTGGAAACAGGCTTTAATAGATATATTTCTCCTATAAATTGGCAAGCAGATGGGAAGATGAGAGGATGAAATTACAGGAGGAATTGAACAGTCTGGAAAGGAAGTTGTTAAATATCTCATTAGGAAAAGTAGTTAAACTAAATACTATCCCCCCTCCTCCCTGCACCCCCGAAACCTGCTTCCACTTGGATTTATGGATTGTTTTGTCTTTGCCAGGTGCTAATCAGTTTCATTAATACATGTATTTTTATTTCTGAAGGACTATTCTTAAAGACAGTAAATTTTTTCGCTATTTGCACACGGCTGTGATAATGAGTGGAACCATGCTGGTGTTTGGAGGAAACACGCACAACGACACCTCCATGAGCCACGGCGCAAAGTGCTTTTCTTCAGATTTCATGGCGTATGATATTGGTAAGTTCTTGCAGAAATAATAATAAATTCTTGGATATTCAAAAAGAGCTGTCTTCAAGAAGACTAATTTACATGCTGGGTGTATTATACCAAATGCTACTAAGCATACTGCAGAAGAATGTGTAATCAGGAGAGGCTCATTTAGCTTGCTACACATTACCAAGCAAATGAGCTGGTGCAGTGATTTCTAGGCAAATACAGCAGCAGTTATTTGGTCAACAGCTTACATGCAACCTTGGGTGTTAAAAATTATTTCTTAAACAGAAAGCATATTGTTCTACCATCTCAGCCATAAAGCCATCCTGATATTTTGAGTGTGTTTTAATGTATGATTTATCAAAAATGCAGGCTGTTAGGACAGTTACAAGCACTGGACCCTGCTGAAGCTCAACTTGTACATTGCACGCTCTTGTTTTAACTGCAGGCTGGCTGACTTGTTTGGCTGTGCTGTTTGTAATGTCAGTGTGTTTATATGTATGCTTTATAAGCATAAATATCCCCATAAGCACTATTTAACAATAAAGCCAAATGATTCGTTTTTATTTGGAAGGATTGGATTTTGATGAGTAGCCAGAAGAGGGCAGCATTTATTTGTGAATTTGGAGTGGAGAGACATGCATTCAAGAAGACGAAAAGAAAAAGAGATGAAATTATATAAAAGAAGGTGCTTGCACATCCAGATAATTCACACTGGCGAAAAACACCATTTTGTACTCATATCACATTCTGCCTTCTGCTCTCGGAATTCCTTAAATGTGGGCTTTTGTGATTGATTCCCTGGAATAATCATGTAAACCTGAATTCTCGGAGTGACTGTTCGCTGAGATGTCACTCCTGGTTTGTGAAAAGAATATGCAAGCAAATGAATTACTTTCAGCAGCAGGGTTTGGTATCCTTGTGCCATTTTGCAGTCTGTTACAGGGATCGTTCCCTTTTGCTTCCTGCGATTTCAAGTCGTATCCCTGTGGAATTTGTGTGCTCCTAACTTGCTTTATTTTGAGTTTTTTCTTGAAGAATTAAAATGGGGTATTTCAACAGTCACGAACAGAGTAAATTTTTTTAAACTTTGATAGCAATAATGACAGATTTTTCTTGCTACATTTTGCTATCTTCTTGACCCGTTGAACTCTTAGGCGTAAAACACAAATTGCATTACTTTGACAAAACATGCCAATAGTTATATTCATTTTGATTCAGTTTAGTTAACAGGCAGGTTCCTGCTACGTGAAGTAAGTGTTTTAGTCAACTTGCCCAGTCCTTACCCGTTTTACACTGAGAATTAGAGCTTGCATTGATTGCCCTTCACATGACAGGGAGGAGAGGTGTTCTGGTGCTCTTGGGTACCCTCATTCCTTAGGGCAGAGACTCTAAGCCTGGAAAGAGCAGGCTTTTTTTTTTTTTTTTTTTTCCTCTCCAGAAAAAAGACCACTTTTCCATTCTTTTCATGGCAGGGCATCTTATGCACCATTTGCCTTATCCCGTTGGACCAGGAGCACTCCCAGGAATACGTTAGGGTGCTGGCTGTTCATTAGTGTCACAGCAGAAACACCTACTTGCTGGTTCTTCATGCATGATCTCTGCAGTAATTATATTGATCATGTTCATGTAGGTCTCCATGGGAATAAGCCCGTATACTGTGGAGAAGCATTGTAAGTGTCAAAGACCATTGTGGCTGTGCCACCATAGATGCGTATGGCTATCACATCTTTAATATTTACACGCTTATCTTGTTATCTGCCCCTGGATGCTCCCAAGGCTCAAGCTATCCAGGAGAAAACCAAGCAGCAAGGTCAATTGATGCTGAGTGCCTTTGGAGGAGAGGCTTAGTAGTTGGCTGTCTTACTCCCTACTTTTATAGTAAGCTGTCGGGCTGATTTGCTCATTTTTAACATGTTGTTGATGAAGGCAATATCTTGGTGATCATAGTGCTGGTTGGAAGACTGGAGAAAACTGAAATTAAAATGCAGTCTAAAATACAGGTTTCAAAAACAGGTCTTCTCATTAACCTTTGCCATTAAAACTTATTTCTGCAGTAACTCATTTTATTTACCTTGTCAAATTTTTCTGTTTTTCTCCTCAAATTTCTAAGTAATCAGACCACATGCATTGAGTGTTGTGAGGACCTATTATCTTATTTTTGTGTGTGTGTGTGTGTGTGTGTGATGCAAACAGGTGTCACTGAGGTGTGTGCTGAGATTTAACAGATAAGGTAGATCTGAGAATGCATTAATGCTTCTTATCCTTTTATCCTCCACTTGACCAGGTTGGGGCATATTCAATCCAAATTGTCCAGGTAATGGCCAGTTTTGGAAGGTTTCGGGATAGCAGTCCAGCTGTCTGTGTGCATGTGCATTTCTTGTTGCTTCTCAGGACGAGCTTTCAGATTGTGTTGACGTTCAGGTTGGGTGAGCACTTGGGTAGAGCACTCTCACAGTATTTTTCCGATGTTCTGCACACTGCGGTGGCTAGTTAGCACTTTCTATCCCCAAAATTGGTGTCTCTGGCTTCTGGGGAAGAGTTTCCTGCTCTGCAGCAGTTTTGTCTCTGGGTGGACAAATGCCTTGCTCAGTCCTCTACCTCCTCCTGTCGACAATTCATAGCGGCAAAGGAGCGGAGAGAAATTTGCAGCCCTTCCATCGCTGCACGTTCATCTCCAGGAGGGAAAAAGCAAGGGTTGTGCTTTCCGAAGGGTCACCTCCCTTGCATATGGGGTATGTCTAAAACAAGAATAGAAACTTCGCAGGCAGACTGTCTCAAAATGCGGTTACTGTCGGTTAAGTAACTGTTCTTTTTCATTTCTATATAAGCTTTAACTTTACTTTTTTTTAAAAAGCATGAAATATTCACGTAAAGGCTGTACTTGTGTAATGATCTTTTCTCCTCACAGAAAAGAAATTAAAACTCTTCTATTTACCCCATCAAAAATTCAGTTCTGATAACAGAAGGGGACTGGATGTTTTCATAGCATTTGTGTTCTATTTGAATCGTATATTTAATAAATCCTGTGCATTGTAAGTTTTAGGCTTGGCTTAACTCATAAGTCAAGGAGAGGATTCTTTGTAGTTTCAGAATTATTCATTTTTTCCAATACTTGATCTTCTGTCAAAGATGGGAAAGAAGCTTAGAAAGCAAAACATTCCAGGCCTTCTATTAATCTAGAAAAATATATTTCTTGGCCTCACATAACTCACAGCTTGATGGATAAAAAATTGCAAATTGCTGCCCAATTTTGCTGAAGCCTCCTGGTAAAAATTGGAACCATGCATGCTTGTTTCAGGAGCGATGCTGAGCTAGGTTAAATTTTTTGAAAATCGAGCAAATGACATTTAAAAATAAACTTCAGAATCACAAATTATCAAAGTATTAAATCCAACCAGCTGGATCCTATGTCTTTTATTTATCGGCACTCTTGAGCAAAAGTTTCTGCTCGAGCAGACGTTAGGGTCAATTGTTTTACCCAACAGCTCTCCAATGAAATTTAGTAAAATATTAATAAGGTTGTTTTTCTTTGCCCTCTCAGTTTATCTACATCCTAGTTTGGGTTTGTGGGCTTTTTGTTTGTTTGGGTTTTTTGTTGTTTTATTTTGTTTTTCAGAGGTTCAGTCCATGGCGTAACAGTTTTATCTTGTTATTAAAGAATCTTTGAGTATTTGAGGGCCCGGTAGATCTTTACAGCAGATGGACTTTTCTGTCTTAATTGCATAAATTGCATACAACTGCCTCTGGGACGTTAGCCCCCAAGGTGATCCCATTCACTTTATGAAGTTTAAGTGATATGAATTGGACTGACTTTTCCCGTTTTTGTTCCTTTGATTGCTCAGTGGGTTATATGTTTCTTAGGTTGGTTTTTTTCATGCTGCCTAAAGGAAGAAATTACCTGAGAAACAGAGTAAAAAATGAAGCAGAACTTAAAAATGTTATGCTAATAGAAAAAGATGGAATAATCTCACATTATATTAAAAGTGAAAAACAACCACAAATCCTTAAGCTACGATGAGTGAAAAATATTTTTACAAACATGGATATCTACCCTCTAGGAACATAACTGCAATGGGGAAGTAGGAAGAAAAAAAAAGAAGATAAGTGTCTGTTCTCAGTGGTATTGGTTTGGGGCAAAACTGCAAATAATTCACATATAACCAGATAAAACCTGAACTTGTTACACAGTGGAAAAATTCCACTAGTAAAGGAGAAGAAGCAACTCCAGCCACCGCCGTTTAATTACACGTGATTGCCAAAAAGCTAATAACACCTTTGACCCAAGGCCTTGAAACTTTCCTTTTTCATGAGCTGTTTAGGTGATGGAGCAGAGCCATTACATCCTTCCTTTCCCTTTCTGTCATACCTTGGCAGCTGGGGGGTGAAAACTAAATCTTAAATCTCACGAAAGAAGATAACGCAGCCTTTTTGTAAACTGTCCTGCTTCACTCGAGAGATTTGCATTTTGGTGGTGGGTGGAACGCTATCTCTGTAGTTATTAAAGTACTTTGGGATCTTTCAGGAAACCGTGTGCTACATAAGCTGAGTTATTAATTATACTGAGAAACTTTTCTGAAATGAGCTTTCTTTAATCCTAGCTTGTGATCGGTGGTCTGTTCTTCCTCGCCCGGGTCTCCATCACGACGTGAACAGGTTTGGACATTCTGCCGTGCTGTACAACAGGTAAGGTTACAAACAAGCTGGGGGGTGTTGACTTTTTCATACCTCAATAAATGTATACATGTAGATCAGTAATACTGGGACCAGAGGGTCGAGGATCTGTTGCAGACCTCTCAAAGTTCGTAGATCTTCACTCTGTAATGTCTGCAGTATCCACCTGTCCCTATCAGCCCTTCTTCTTCATGGGACTAAACTGTTTTGGCTCACTTAATTCTTTCAAAAATTTGTTTTTTTCTTATTTCTATTCCTTTTTCATATGTATTTTTTCCTATTTATCTTTCTTATTTATTTCATAATTTTGTAATTTCATTTATTTCATATTTCTATTTCTTCTTTAGCTGAAGTGACAACTTTTATCTCCAAATCATACTTTCCCTCATGGTTTCTAACTTTGTCCATGTTTCAGTTTATATAGCTTATCCTGTGTGGCTCTTCTTTACCAGTCACATGATGTACGGTATTTAGGTGAAGTCATAGGTGAGATTTCTGCTGTTAAACATTGTATCACTATAACGATATCTGTGCTCTCAGGTGAACATCTGTTATTGTATTTGAGTCTGTGGAACCAAGTTTGAGAAATGGTATTTCTTAGGAGTCTTTCATTCTGGTTCCTTTATCCTTTGAGATACTTTCTGTAAATCAGTAACGTTATTTAAAGCTCAGTTTAAGCCAGGCAGATAACTGTCACTGCCTTGAAAAGAAAGGTGTGCTTCTAGATACTCTTTTTGTCTCTAAAATCTCACTCACTTTCTGTTTCAGCGTATAGTGAATACCAGCGGTGCATTTGCTCCCATGAAGGACAGTTAAGCCTGTGCTGTAGTTCTTTCCTAAGATAGGATGAAAAATCATATTAAAAATACTTACTATTCAACCAAAACTTTTATTCAGTTGCATTGACTCTTCTGCGCTATCTTTTTAAATGTGCATTTACACACATGGATGCGCAGGGGTGGGTTGGGTGGAATTTTGGGGTAACTAGTGAAATTTGATGTTTTGCCTGAAGCAGATGTGATACTAAACACAGTTTAAAAAACCCACCTTTTTCTCTTCCCCTGCCTGGCCCCCAATATTACTTGGTTTTGGGTTGGGGTTTTGTTTGTTTGTTTGTTTTTTCTAGTCGACACAATGACTCTTTGCTCAGTTGCCAACAGCCGTGAAAATAACTATGGTTTTGTCACAGCGGTGTAGCAAGACGTGACAACGCTGAATTGTTTTGTCACAGTTTCCGAGTGCTGGTTTAATGCTGTGATACCATCTCCCGGTTTTTAGCCTCCCTCCCTCTCTTGCCGCTGTCCTTTACGGGAGGATCCGGCATTTCTGCGGCGTTTCACGTACAGTCACGCCGATCAGGTGTCACCCAGAGGCTTGGCTGGAGGGGGAGGTCGGTCCAAGACCTTGGTTTGGCTCTGTCTCAACACCCACGTGTTGGGATTCCCTGGCTTCTCTGAAACAGTGGAGCTTGACCGACCTTTTCTTTAGCGCCTTCCTTAACTGAAAGCTCTTTATTTGGATTTATATACGCTGGAATGAAATAAAGCAATTTGCTCGCACCTCGAATCGCATTGACTTGCAGCAGCGCGTGGTTTGTAAACACAAGCACAAATGTTTCTCTCTTTATTTCCATTTTGTCTAGCACCATGTATGTATTTGGAGGCTTCAACAGCCTCCTCCTGAGTGACATCCTGAAGTACACACCCGAGCGATGCGAAGCTTTTGACAACGAAACGGCCTGCCTGCGAGCAGGTCCTGGCATCAGATGCGTGTGGGCTACCAGCCCTCCTCGCTGCGTGCCCTGGGAAATGGCGACGGTGGAGCAGCAGCAAAAAGTCTTCGAAGACTGTCCTCCCAAGCCAGGTACGTGTCACGTTCTTTCCGTTTCCCGTTCCAAAAGGCACGTAGGGTCTTTTGCTTTTCCAAAGCCTGTCTTGCGTTAGTTGTATGCCGTTACCAGACCAAGGTTGAGATGGGGGGCTGTGCTTGTGCTTCCGTACGTGCCCTGGGAGACCTTCCTCCGAGCAAGTGGCTGCGGCGATGTGGAGATGTTTCCATCTCTCACTCCCCCTGAAGCTGCTTGCTCGCGAGTTTTTTTTTATTTTTAGTTTTCTTACTGTACTGCTTGTACTTGCTTTCCCATCCTAAACAGACGGCATCAGTCGGGAATCAGGCCTGGACCATTGCTCTGTAGATGTTTGCTCCACGAACTGACCTTGTGAGAGCCGGCAATTCGCTGATGAGCACCACAGGGCAAGGGAGGGGGATCTGGGTCCTGCGGTGTCATCCTGTGCTCTTCAAGAGAGACAGCAGGAATAGTCTTTTAAGAAAAGTTACTGTATTTTTCCTTCTACAGTATTCTATGGCTAGGGGTGTACAAAAAGAACATTTGTTTTAAGGTCTGATTCCTGTGTTCTCTCTTAGGATAATTTTTAAACAACTTTTCAGTGCTTTATCCTGATGCATTTGTTGCTCTGAATCGAATTACACGAACCTTGATTCTGTAATAGGTGGCAGCCTTTAATTATTTAAAAGAAATTGATGTAAAGGGACATTGCTTTGATGGGCTCTCAATGTACAATAAATTTTCACAAAACACAGGCCATAAGCAATTGGAAGGATGAAGTGGAAAGTTCAAGCTTTGCATGAAAATGCTTCACGTAACTAAAGGCCAGACTTGCAGCAAAATGGGCCTGTGGTGGGAGATGTTCACCGTCCTTGTGAAATGTCCTCTGGCATCGTTTGCGTGAGCGTTGACTGACCACGCATGCCCGCTCTTCCTTCACGTGCTTTCATGTCTTGGCACGTTTTCTGCTGGTGTGTTTTACGGCTCCTTGGGCGCGAAAAATGATCGATGCTGCAAATGAATGCAATTTTCTGTCAGTTCAATCGCATGAAAGTATCTGATTTACTAAGTAGTTGATAACGGAAAATCTACAGGCACTACTGTTTGGTTATATCTTTTGCTATATATAATCAAGTTCTTAGAGCTCTGTCAGGAAATGCCTGTTTTTGGTCATGCAGGTTTTTTTCTTTAATAGTTGTAGACAATGAAAAATGTGATCAGATTACAGACTGCTATAGCTGTACAGCAAATACAAACCACTGTCAATGGTGCACTGACCAGTGTATCTCAATGCATAACAACTGCACAGAGGAACAGGTAAAGTCTCTCTACTATTTCTGTAGTTTAAATTTAGCCTTTGAAATATCAAATGTCCAGATGCCTTCATCTGTCAGTATTATGACCCCTGTTGTTTTCGTTATTTCCAGTGCATGTCTAGCTCTAAACTGCTAACATGCTTGAATTTTTTTCAAGTTGGTCCAAGGGCTTTTCATGGGACTCTCCACTTAAGTTAGGAGGATGGCTCTGGGCCGGGGAAGAGGTGGAGGTTTCACGATGGTGTGATTATTCAGTAAGGCACATAGCCACTTGGGTTTGCCATCAATAGACCCTTCCCTAGGAAAAAAACCCTAATCCTTTTGTAAAAGCTCTAGTAAGGAAAATGTGTCAGATGGTGGCTTGGGGGAATATCTTGAATAGACGGTACAGGCTGTGTCCGGTGTCGCAGCTTTTGAATATGTAGGTTGCTTTGTAGGTCTGAACTGTGAAGTTTTGTGTGGTAGTCACGGCTGTTATAAACCGACATTGGTTGGATGGGAGCGAGCCTCATCTGTGCTATTTATTTTAGGTTCCTATTACTCTGTATGACAGTTGTCCTAAAGATAACCCTGCCTATCACTGTAACAAAAAGACAAGTTGTAAAAGCTGTGCCATGGATCAAAACTGTCAGTGGGAACCTAGGAACCAGGAGTGCCTCGCTTTACCAGGTAGGTATTGGTTGTATTTGTGGAAGGAAAAAAACACCCAAATTCACACAGTCCAAAAGTTGTAGGGGTTCTTTCGTTTGGTTTTGGTTTTTTTACCCCCAAACCTGTAATCTTTTAGTGTTAAGCTGGAGTAAATAATCTTGTTTAATCATACCAGTTTTGGTAAGAAATCTTTTTTCTAGTAAATTCAGAAAGTCTGATGGAATATTTTTCAGTCCCAATTGTCTGGAGTATGATCATTTGTATAATTATTAGGCTGTATTTCATCTCTTTTTTCATTTGATAAAAGCAGTACTGTTGATACAATAGGCTTCTGTAAGATATTAGATTTAATAATGCATGCTATTTAATTTTAGAAACTAGAATTGTGCAAAAGCGTAATGGCACATACTGGACGAATTAGGCAAATAACATCTAAAGTGTATAAGGAAAACTCTTTTACAGTTTCCAGTGGGGGCTCGCAGGAGTTGATTGTAAGTCCCCCTGTAGTAACATTTATATTTTTTTTCCCCAGTGACTGGGAGAGAAATATAGCATCTTCAGTGATTAACATTTGCAGTTAATAAAATACAGAGAAAGGGGAAAAAAAACAACCCAGGACTTTTTAATGGGCATGGAAAGCCTTTCGCTAGTAACTCCGATAGGTGTGGAGGTGTCCAGGTCTGGTGTTTGCTAGTCTTGGAGAGTGAAATATGAAGAGACTTAGGAGAAAAGCCATGAGAATGAGAAAAACATCTTTTAATGAGATAGATGAAGAGCTTGGTCTGTTTAATTTGTTGTTAAAAAGGGGGTGACTTGATCATATGTGTAAAAAGCCCATCTGAAAGATCGACACTTGAGAGCTTTTCAATCTGTTAGATAAACCTAAACCAAGATGTTGGAGCTAGATGTCAGCTCTGCAGAAATTCACACTGAAAATGTCCATCAGGTTTTTTTATAAGGGAAATAATTAACCACAAAGTATAGGGAGTTCTTCAGTAGTGGGCATGGCTTTACTCAGGATGAAGCAGGGATTAATCCTGGAAGTTCAGTGCTGTGGACAGGATTAGCACAGCAACCTTCTTCTGTCAAAAGGTATCCTAACAACTGTGACTTTAAGTCATCACCAAAATACTCATTTGCTCTTTCTTCTACAATGATTTTACTATTCAGTGTTGTAGTAAGTGCTCTGACTACCTACTGCAGGTAACTAAATGCTGATGTTGCACTTCAGTTCCCCTAAACAGTTTTCCTTTTCCTCCCAAATTATTATACATGGGTACTTCCGAGCATGCTGATAAGTCATGCTAGTTTGCGATGGGGCTGTAAGTTTTATTTTGGTGGAAGGGCTCTTTCACTACTTTGAACCTTGTGAAGGTCGCTTGCATCTCTGGGTTTACTTTCTTTCCCCCCCCTTTCTTTCCAGAAAATATCTGCGGAACAAACTGGCATTTGGTTGGCAACTCCTGCTTGAAAATTACAAACGCCAAGGAGAACTACGATCATGCCAAACTGTCCTGCAGATCCAACGGTGCTTTGCTGGCTTCTCTCACGACCCAGAAAAAGGTAGAATTTGTTCTAAAGGAGCTGCAGAAGATGCAGTCTTCGGTGAGTGCTTCTCTTTTATGTCCCCTGAGTGATTAAGCTCTGACTGTGGAGGAGTCCTTGCTGTGGTATTGTATGCTCTGTACAGAATAGACATGCCTCTTAACTGAAAAGGACTGATTTTTCTTTTGAAATTCAACATACCCTATGGGTGCTTTTGAACTGAAATTGTAGAGAATGTAAATGGGGAAGATAAATATAAACATACATGGTGCCTCAAAGGTATCGCTTTCTATAATGAAATCACACGCGCATTTCTCTTGTGGGATACATGACTGCAGCAGGAGTCCTCTCGTGACTTGTACACAATATTTTATAAATAAAGGTCCCTTTGGGGCACTGGAGGTGTTTAATATAAAGCATTTAAAGTTATTTATTCTGCTCAGAAAAGCGTCTGTTTAAAATGTCAGCTTCTTACTCAGCAGAGCTGCTTGGATTATTTGGAGTTATTTATGTCTGATTTAGTGGCAGGTGCTTTTCTGTCGGAGCCAGTGAGAAGTGAATTGGAATCTGTCCCTCTTCATGCATCAATAAAATAAATACATATTTTTTTCCACTCCCTGGCAGAAGCGCGGAGGTATTCAGGGCAGGTTGTGTAGGTGGTGCTAAAGCCCTAACAAAGAACAATGCTGTGCAGCTTTGCTGAAATCCTGGTTTAGGCTGCAGAGCTGCTGTGGCTTGACGGCACATCAGAGTAACTCCTCCTGGGTCCCAGAGGCCACTGTGGGCAGGGCTGGCAATCGGGACGAGTTTTATATCGGAAAAATGAGACTGGAGGCAGTAGGGTAGCTGCTTTTCAGAGGAGAGCGTACTTCAGTACTAAAGTGAAATATTCCCGTGTTGAAATGAGAATATTTCCTGCTTTGATTCCCTTTGTAATTTTAAAATGGCATTTCAACAATTATAGGGTTTTAGAGGGGATTCAGTTTGGCCAAGAAAAAGGTAAGATGCAATTCAAGCAAGATTGTTTGTTAAGTCTTTTGTGAAGAGGGGAAGCCAAGCCTGGGATATTGCAGAAGTACGTGGTTCTGACACTTGCGTGTGTTTGTCGATATCCCAGTGGTTAAGTGTAGGGTAAATTCCTGAAGACACATGGCAACCCTTCCCTAGGAGTGTTTGAACCCTTACACTGGGCAGAAAAAAATTATTAATTTATGGGTTTGGTTTTTTTCATCTACAGTATCATTTAAAAAATGAACCTTAGAAATCTAAAGAGTCTATTACCCTTTTAGTGCATATTAGTATTGAGTGCTTCTAATGTGGGAAAATACCTTTGCTAAAAAGCCAACCTGTATCTGGTAATTGAACCTCTACCATTCGATGGCACGCTGCTGCTGTGCTGGGGGAGGCTGTATTTTGCAGTTACTCCTTTTTCAAGTAAGCTGCTTATAGATGCTTTGTAATAATAAGAAAACGTGTTGGTGTTGGCACATAGTGCTGTGTAACCCCGTTGCTGTTAGAAGTTGCAGCTCTAAGGTTTAAGAGTGCATAAAATCAGTTTGAAGTAGGAGATGGTTATACATAGCAGTAAGGGAAGACGTATGGTCTAAAGCCTTCCTAGGACAGCTGTGCCACCGAAGCGCTTTGATGGAGAAAAGATTTTAACAGTAAAATAACATATTGTACCAATACGGTTAAAATGCTTCTCCCCAAAATAAAAGTGTGCCAAAAATTAAATTGCCAGTAGAAATAATGGTATCATGGGTTCTTCATATTGAGAATTTTATTGCCAGCAATACTAATTTAGATTTGACCTGCTCTGTCTCTCTACCCGTCCATATAAACACAGTCGTAAACAGCAGAGGTCTCCTAGTCAGACTGTAGAGTAGGTAGATTGTATCATTTAAATTGTGTAGGGGACTGCTAGTTTTTTTCCTCACGTCAAAGTGAAGCTCCAGAAATTTTTCTCCTGTGTCTCGCCATTTATAGGAGTCACAAACATGTAAAGAGCAACTTGCAGTTAATTTCATAGTGAGCCAGTGTGAACGTTTGACTTGTTCTCCTCCTGGCTTAGATAACTAGAAATGTAGTTTGAAAAAAAAAATAATAAGTGGCATTTCTTGAAGGATTTCTCTATCTCTGTGGCATTTAATTCTGATAGCACTGAGAAACAAATATTTCCCTTATTACATTTTTGCAACACCTAACCTGGGAAAGTTGTTATGAGCATTATATGGTGATGTGTATTTTCTTTTAATACCTAAAGTAATAAAACTGGGTATTATATCTACCGTTTTCTTTTATTTCTAGCCCAAAACTTTGACTCCATGGGTTGGACTGAGGAAAATCAACGTGTCGTATTGGTGCTGGGAAGACATGTCTCCCTTCACCAACACCCTGCTCCAGTGGCTCCCCGATGAACCAAGCGATGCTGGATTTTGTGGCTATTTAGCCGAGCCTTTCCAGCAGGGACTGAAGGCAGCAACGTGTATCAACGAAGTCAACGGCAGTGTCTGCGAAAGGCCAGGTAACAATATCGAAGTCGTGCGTCTCATGGGGAGCAGGTTGACTAATACGTATTTATATTTCCTAGAGAGTAAAGAGGATCCCATTCCTTACATTTAAAACTAGCTGCATCATGACTTTACCAAAGAAAAGTAGTTCTGAAAAAGTGCCTTGTGTAGGTATTTCGTACAGGAATTGGAGATTTTAAAAACAGGTCTACATTTATGCTGTTAACTGTAAAATGCTTGAATTGCATTACAGTTTAATTATTTTGCTCTAAATTGCACACCTGAATGTGACATTTAGGTTAATTATGGTAGGGAGCAATCTCCCCTTGGAAAAAAAAAATAAAAAAATAAAAGCTACTTTGCAATTGAACTCCTCTTTCTCCCCTCCTCTGCTTTGTAGCCAGAGGAGAATTTTATCAAAGTTTGAAATTAATTGGGCAAGACACTTTGGAGATATGAGAACTTTGAAAAAGAACCTATTTGCTTTTGGGAAAAGTCTTCTAGCTTTGTTGGAACGGTGTATCTTTTAAAATGGCTTGGTCTGTTAACTCTCCATTATAGCTGATTATTTCTGAATACCAACTAGCGCCTCTTCAAGTTTTAAGAAAGTTGTCTGATTACATAAAATTTCTAAATAAGCTGCACTATATCGTTCTTTGCAGAAGTGCAGGATGCAAGTCATGCATGTGGAACCCGAACTCAAAATTTTGTATATTTTAACTTGCAGCACTTTGAATCGGTTTAAGCTTTAACTTGTTTTTTATGGTCTGAGAACAGCCACTTGAAACAGATGATAAAGCATTGGCTCACACCAGAAACTCCGGAGTTAGTTCTGCTTTCAGTACTTATTTTATGTGTGGAACTGATCAAATAACTTAAAACACGTCCCAGCGTGCTCACATAAAACGTGGGGTTTCTTCCCAGGGCTTCGTTTGGGAGAATAGCTAAGGAACACATCAACAGACCTGCAGAGAGAGAAAGATCTCACTCAACACTGTTTAAAGCGTTTTTAAGGTGAATACCTTAAAAAGCCTTAGCGCTCATGAAGGCTACCTAACAAGAGAAATGATTTTGCGGTACTTGCTGCATTTCTCCTATTCACCGTGAGAGCAGATACCTCCAGCTCCATCCAGCAGCACCGCACCACAAACGAAGCGTTCCACGTCCGCGATACCCAGCTATTTCTCAGCCTGAATATTAGACGGGGCTTTTTATCCTCTGCCTTCCGACCTGGGGCTCGTTGCCTGTTTCTTTCTGGAGGAAAGCTGACCCTGTCCCCCTCTCCCGCAGCGAACCACAGCGCCAAGCAGTGCCGCACGCCCTGCGCCCTGCGGACGGTCTGCGGGGAGTGCACCAGCGGCAGCTCCGAGTGCATGTGGTGCAGCAACATGAAGCAGTGCGTGGACTCCAACGCCTACGTGGCCTCCTTCCCCTACGGGCAGTGCATGGAGTGGTACACCATGAGCAGTTGTCCGCGTGAGTAGTTTGCTTCTGCGTCTCGGGCGGGCTGGAGTCGAGCGTCTGGGGACGCTGGCTAGCGCGGGTCGTCGAACGCCGCGCGTCGGTCGTACCGAAAAATCCCCCGGCCAAAGGTAACGGGTAGCCGAGGCCAGGAGCTTTTAGGGTGCGAGGTTCAGTCCTGCGTCGTGTAAAGCGTTCAGCAGAATTGGGTCCCGGTTACGGGAACCATCAATTAAACTCCATGGCAGATAGCGAAGGCTTTCAAGTGAGATGATGAAATCGCCGCTTCTGTTTCCGATGGAGAAGTACTTGTTTCATCATTTGAATTCCTATCCTTCAAATTAATTTTTACATAATTTCATGTCATTAACTTCTTTTTGTGTCTCTCCTATATCTCTTTTATTCATATGTGGGGCCATGTAATTTAATGTTAGATTATCTGTATCAAATCCCAATTAGGGTTTACGTGACTGTTTTATTCTGAAGTATTGTCTGCGTAAAGCCCACAGTAGGAGTTTCTAACTTACTTTAAATAAATGATTTATTTTTCCCCCCTCTTTTAGGTAGATGTGAGCAAACTGCAAAAGATTTATGGTGCTAGGGAATATTGCTTTCTGTTTTCAAAACTGTGGAGAGATAGTCCAGAAATTTAAAAAGGGGTCAAACAGTTTTAGGAATTATTTTTATTTCTGTTGAATTCTTTAGGAGCTGAGCGTGAGCAGGGGAGTCAGGAAAGCCGGGGCTCTCGGGGTAGCAGAGGGAGAGGAGTGCCTGTGTTCCCCAGGAGGGAAATTGGGCAGTTTGTTGCTGCAATTGCTCCAGGAACTTTTGGAAGTTGACCAGAATAAGCTGGGTAGCTTATGGCTAAAAATATGCTGGGTAGCTCATTGTTGCAAAATAAGAGATCGAGAAAATTAGTTTCAGGTAACTGTCAAACGTGAGAGTGTGAACTTTCCCCTATTGCCAGAGGTCAAAATTTGGAGGAGGCATCAGGCAGGAGATGAGTAGGTTGAAATAATGGAAAACCATGTTTTTCTACTACTTTTTTGGGTTTTTTAAAAGGCAAATGTTATCAATTTAAACATCAAGATAGAAAGTCTGCTCGTCTTGGAACTCGAAGAATCTACAAAATATTTTTTAAGATGGTATGGGGAAAGTAATAGAAAACTTTACTATATGAAACGAGTTTGTCGCCCCTGAAATACAATCCCACTTGAGAAGGGAACAGTTAAAGGGTGGCCATGGTTTTTCCCTGATTTATTTGATTGATGGGCCCAGGGGATCTGCGTGTGGCACTCTGAGCATCCTAAGAAGACAAATTCTATTCCGTACTTGTAGTCTGTGCTTTTTGGCTCAGATAAATATTTGAAATAGTAGTGTGTGATATTAACATGTGTGGTAAGAAGAGACTCAAAGCAATTAAACAAACTGGGTTTTAGCCTTTGCTTCCAGATGGCTCATTTTATCATCTGATCCATTGTAAATCAATTGGAGATCTTTTGTAGTTGGGATCATTAAGCTCTGGTTTTAGTGGGTGGCGTGTAATGGTTAGAAAAACCTTACGTGTGTATTGCGTTGTTTCATCGCTCACTGATTAATGTTAATAGTTATCTTAGCTTCTAGAATAAATATGCTGATAGGAATGAATATATGTATGCGTGTTACTGTGAATATCAGAAGAAATATTTACAGATTTGGTGAGATAAATACTTAAGGTCACAGAAGACATCCAAGAGTTTCTGTGTTCATTGTCATCTGTGTTTTGGGACAGTGATTTATTCCACAATTTGATGTTTGGTTTTGGGTTTGTTTGTTTTTTGTTTTTTTGTTTTTTTTTATAGCTGAAAACTGTTCAGGCTACTGCACGTGTGCTCACTGTTTGGAGCAGCCCGGCTGCGGGTGGTGCACTGATCCGAGCAACACCGGCAAGGGCAAGTGCATCGAAGGCTCTTACAGAGGTCCGGTCAAGATGCCGACCCCATCCGCAACAGGGAAACACAGCTTGGAGCCCGTCCTTAACGTCAGCATGTGTCCTGTGGAGAACAACTATAACTGGTCTTTTATTCAGTGTCCAGGTAAACGAGCAACGTTTAATTGTTGAAACGTTTCAGCCGTCGCAACCATTAAGTGCAAGGGGAGAGACTTTTTAAGGCTGTAGTGATGTCTGTGTTCCCTCCTGTTAATGGAGGGAGGAAAAGAACTTGGAAGACAAACAAGAAATAACACATTTGGAGATGGAAGGAGTCGTGCAGCTATCTGCAGGTGAGCTGCAGAGGTTGGCTTATCTATGCATTACTCCAGTGAAATTTTTCCTTTCCCTCTACAAGCCTTTACCAAGTTTTTTAACTTTTGTTTGTTTATTCGCTTTAGGGTTGTTTGAAAGAAAGGCAGTTCTTTCTTTGAAGGTTGATTTAACTGTTAGTAATGCTCAGAGTGATTCTGAAATAATATTTTTGACGCCAAACTTATAGAATAAAATTACCTGGACTGCTGCTACACCCTTTCTTCTCCATTCCTCCTTGTAAATCCATCCCACCGGCTGCTTCCAGTCCTGTCTGTCCAATACGCACATAGTGTTTTGGAGTTCAGTTTTCCATGTGTTGCTTTAGGTTTTAGGTTTTCAGTACACACTTCTCTTTTGAGTTCATGTATCGCTAGCAAGACTGCAAGAGCCTCTTTGGAAGGTGCATGAAATGGTCTCATTCAGCCTCTGTGGAACACAGACTTCTGAGGCTCTATGTGAAGCGCTATATTTGAACACAAATACTCGCCTTTTTCTGTTTTCTTCAGCCTGCCAGTGTAATGGGCACAGTAAGTGTGTAAATGAAAGCATCTGTGAGAAGTGTGAAAATCTGACAACTGGCAAACACTGTGAAACTTGTATCTCAGGCTACTACGGCGATCCTACTAACGGAGGAACATGTCAGCGTAAGTGATGCCTTAAGTCTTCTTGTGCTCAAGCCTTTGATGTTTTTCGCTCTTTACTCATTCCTTTGGTATCTTAACTGAAATTATATCCTGCTAATACGCTTTTTCTTTCCTGCAAGCAAGGCACAATCCTTGTTTCTTCAAATCAAAGATATGGAAGCTGCTTGATGAAGTTCTTTGACTTTCATTGCACAAGATAAAGATGGGGTTTTTTTCCCTCTTTTGTAAACTTTAAATGACCATAGTGAAAAATGTGTGCATTTTAGTGTTTGGCGATCCTGTTTTGAAAAGAAACCGTGTTAATCCCAATGTCTTGCACAAATTTCTGCTTATCTAAATTCCACCTTCTATTATGTTCAGTTAATGTGTTGTGCGTTTATTGTTGTAATTGTCTGCTTCATAAAAGGTTTGCTGTATTTCACTGAGGAGTTGGCTGGATTTCAGTTGAGGATTAGGTGATCCCTGTTAAAATTGCATTTTAAGTTTGTAAAGTGCTTTGGGACTCTTTGGCACAAAGAACTTTTTTCAGTTGTACAAGATCCAGTTAAACTGGGGAAAAAAATCTTTCTTGAAGGACCAATATGGGTAATAATGAAAAATGAACATGTAAGATTTGAGGTTTTGCACTAGAACCTTGCAACATTTTTCTGAATTACTGTGAATTTTGTAGGGTTGTAGCATGGGGAGGCCACTTGTAAACTAGGATCCAGCTGTGGTAAGTGATATGCAGATGTCAGGGAAGGCGCTTCTTGCTCTGAGGAGCTTTTCATGGAGTTTAGTTAGGTGGAGTGATATAATTAGATACAGCGATGGAAAAGCTAGAACAGAAATAACATTGTATAGTGTCAGAGTAATCTCAGTACTTCCATTGAATGAGTGTGGGTGGTTTGGAGGCATCCCAGAAGAAATAAGTGAAGGTAATTAATGAGGGGACATGGAAGACTTTGAGTTGCTCCTTCCAAGTGTGGAGACAATCCAGTAGAAAATACTTGGAAATTCATTTAGTATGCTTACTGGAAGTAGCGTCGACCTTTTGGGTGAAGATGAGAGTCAGTAGCTGGAGCATGAACGTCCCGTTTCCTAAAGAAAGAGCAAGTTGGTGATGTTTGAGGCTATGAGGAAGAATCTCCCAGCGGACAGATTTGAGGAGGAGGTGACAAGATCACAGACAGGGTCAAGGCTGCCTTGCTTAGAGAAAAGGGTGTTGCGGTAGCCAGGATATGAAATTATGATAGACAGCACAACGGCACGGGTACAAAGGAGAAGGAGCATCTCTGACATTTCAGAATATTATCTGCGAGATTAAATACCGCTGATATTTGTAAACTCATTTCATGTGAAGATAATTTGAAGTGCAGGAATGAATAAATTGAGACTGAGTTGGTGTCCTGGTTTTGGCTGGGATAGAGTTAATTTTCCTCCTAGTAGCTGGTATAGTGCTGTGCTTTGGATTTAGTATGAGATGAAGGTTGATAACATGCTGATGTTTTCAGTTGTTGCTGAGTTGTGTTTATACTAAGTCAAGGATTTTTCAGCTTCTGATGCCCAGCCAGCGAGAAGGCTGGAGGGGCACAAGGAGTTGGGAGGGGACACAGCCGGGGCAGCTGACCCCAACTGGCCAAAGGGGTGTTCCAGACCATGGGATGTCATGCCCAGTATATAAACTGGGGGGAGTTGGCCTGGGCGGATCGCTGCTCGGGAACTAACTGGGCATCAGTTGGCGAGTGGTGAGCAATTGCATTGTGCATCACTTGTTTTGTATATTCCAATTATTTCATTATTATTGTAATTTTATTATTATTTTCATTATTATTATTTTTTTCCTTTCTGTCCTATTCAACTGCTCTTGGCTCAATCCACGAGTTTTACTTTTTTCCGATTCTCTCCCCCATCCCACTGGGTGGGGGGGAGTAAGTGAGCGGCTCCGTGGTTCTTAGTTGCTGGCTGGGGTTAAACCACAACAGTTGGCTTGAGAAAATATCTAATTTTACTCTGAGCATTCAGGTTTAATCATTGGATCACAAACATGCCTTTTGATATTTGTTGCTTTTCTATGTGTGTGGAAATTGAGAGTAAGTTACTTTGGACTCTTTTCGCATGAGGATTGTCCAAAAATAGTTTGTTGTTGAGATAATGAATGATAGACTGAAGTCATCCACGTGCCTGAAAAAGAAATTAGAAAATGTGTTGGGAGACTGTGGAACAGCATTCATTCGTTATCTGATGAAACTAGTAGCTCATGTCAAAAGTGCTTTGCTCTCAAGTGCTTTGGGCCCAGGTTTTTAATTTGCTGTGATTTAACGCTCTTTACTGTGAAGGCGAAAGAATGAGGGAAGCAGGAAGGTGGGCAGAAAGTCCGAGGTGGATCGGAAGAGGGAAAGGGAGAGGAAATCATCCGATGCGGTACAACCAGAGCAACTGCTGGTCATTAGCAATTTCTTTGCTCGGTGAAAAGGTTTCCAGAGGGGAATTCTTCAGATCGGGAATGGCTGATGGGCAACAGAGCCAACTCCTGCTTTTTCCCTCCTCTGAGCCATGGTTCCTCCTTCCTTTCCCATGAATGATGTGCTGATGCCACTCTTTTTGTGCATTTCTGTGCAACGCTGTGTGCCGCTCTGTTTTTAGAGCCTGTGGTGACATCCGTGCTGGAGATGGTTGTTGGTACACTCTATCCTGATGTACAAGCATCCGTGCGTTTGCACACTTAGTGTGAGTCCTTGTACTTTGAGGTGCAGCTCTGCAGCGTTAGCCCAATGTTCCCGGCAGCATGGGGACCATAAATATCCTCAAAACGGTAAATATTCAGCGCTGGAAAAAGTGTTGGTGCTTGGTATTTCCCATTCTGCTGAGCCATCAGGAATTTGAGCGACACTGTTGGGATAGCAATAGCCTTTCAAACAGGTACGGCTCTGCAGAGCTGGAACTGGTAGCGATGGGATTCAAAAGCCAGGGTGGAATAAGAAGAGTGGACGGATTAAGGTGCTTTTTCCTGCTGTTCTGTGCCACCAGGGCAGGTGAACACTGCTTTATCGCTTGTGTTGAAAAAATTTTGACGAACTGCAGTTATTTCTCTGAAAGAGTTGTTTGCATATCATCATAGGTATTGGTGTTTGCGGAGCTGGGCAGATAATAACTAAATGGTAGGTAAATCACTCCTCAGCGGTTGCTTTTAGGAAGTGTCCAACGTAGAGAAGTGTTAATCGCGAAGGGCAGGAAATGCAGCACATCAAATGTAAAAATAGCTGCAAGGTGCTTCCTCTGCATTCAGGATTTTTTGAATTTTCTGATTAAAGTTTCACATGAAAATATGCTAGCGGTAGATAAGGAAGTTATTTGCAAGAAAACGGAAGGCCCTATTATACCTGAAATCAGATTGCTGCTGCGGCAGCGCTTCGGAACGCGTCCGCGGAGCGTTTGCTGGTGGCCCGCGATGAGCTGGTGGTGCCGTGGTCCTGCCCGCGCCACGGGGGCTTTGGAGGACGCCTAAAGCACTTGGCGTGGAAAAATGGTGTCGGGCAAGCGAGTTGAGGCAGTTGCCGTTGGTATGTTGGACCGTCACAAGTGCTGGAAGAGGAGCAGCGATCCCCGTGACCGTTTCTGAAGGAGTCTGTGACCCGTGGTTTGGGAAGGAGGTGGAAGGACGCTCGCCGTAAGGTGGTTCATCGTCAGACCGTTACCCTGCTTCACGGTCAAAAAGCCATTTCCATTAATTTTGGCTTTCTGCTCTAGCATCAGACTGGGGAGGGAAATTTTCATTTTTAGCCTCCAGCGAGGGCGTCTAGTACCTTTTGTCAACAGTTCATTTCCCAACTTTAGGGTTGTTTGAAAAGCCATGAGAAAATTTCTCTTTGTGCGTATGCCAGTCCTTTAGTGAATGATCTCCAGTTACGAGGCTCATAGGAAAATGGATAAATAAATAAATAGACTGTTGTTTTAAATAGAGATATTTGAGTGTTCAGTCTTCTTGATAAGCTTGTGGCTAAAGAGCAAGGTGAGGAAGTGTTAATGTTAGCGCTCAGGATACTGTGATCTGTGTCTAAACAACATAAAAATTAGGGGAAATTTCAAATTTCACGTATGTTAATGTTGAATATTGATCAAATTTCACTTTGCTTACCATTTGGAAAGCATAAGGAAGGAAGTACAAGACATTCTCAATAGTATTAAGAATTTTTTTTTTAAGTGCCACTAATGAGAGGTGTGTTTGCTTCACAGATTACAATTATTTTGTCAAATCTTCATTCAGTCTACTTCCAACAATAGGCCTTTGTGCTTCTTCATATTTTGTTCCGTGTTGCTGCTAGGAAACCACTCATCCACATCTGAGAAGCACAATTAAGTGTCCCAGATACAATATAGCTTCCATTACACGCCAATATAAAGAAGACATCAAAAGGATTCATAAAATAAGGTCCAAGGCTTGCAAGGATGTTCTGGATGGGGACTTCTTGTCTAAGAATCTGCTGGTACATTGAGTGGCACATGTCTTCTTAATGAGATGGCATATGTTCTCCTAACGAGGAGGCACCAGCCTTTAAAGCATACGATTTCCAGCAAGCTCAGGGACCGCAAATGAGGGATCTTCTCTTTGTGTACTTTTTCCCTTCTTACATTGTACACTCTCCCATGCACAGCTCCAGATGAACGCACCTTCCCATTCATTGGTAGAACAACTTCTAAAAGGCACCTACCTTCTGGGGAAACTTATTATATCCATTCTTCTAGTTATAGTGAACGTTATATCAAAGACAACTGCCTGTGTTGGTTTTGTTTTTGTTTGTTATTTTGGTTTCAGGGTTTTTTTTACATGTTCCTTCTCTACTTCGTTATGCATAAAGGTTTAAAAGTATGTCAACGTTGGCATTTTAATTTGAATTGGGAGCATTCTTTTGAAGCAAACCTCCTGTACGTCCTCACTGTCATACCTCGGTTTGCATCTCGAGCAGGCACACAGTATATGAGCTGGTCTATTTTGGGCATGCCACAAATCTGATGTAGTCTAGGGCCGTGCTGATTTGGTTCACCACGACTCAGTGGCGTTCAGCTCATGAGACCAGGCTAAAGCTATTTTAAAATATATTGGGGCATGTGCCCCAAACCACTTACCATCATGTTCTTAGCACCAGCCGTTTTACACTGTGGATGCACTGACATTGTTGATAATGGCATTATTTTCTCAAAGGCTGTTTATTTCTAGAAAAAGCCCTAAAAGCACCACGAGCTTTGCTTTCCTTGCAAAAAGTCTTCTCTCAGGAGTTTTGAGTTTGACTGAAATGTGTTAGCAAGCCCCAAACTATCCCAAATACTGGGTTTTTCTTACCAGTTGCGATATTCTAATGCTATCTAACAACAAGAGAGGAAGTTAAATTTTTGAGGCTAAAAAGCACAGTCTGATCATGATTTCATACAGAACACCAGTCCCGGAGCCTGCACTCACTCCATTTTGATGCACGGTTCTATTTTTGGCTGCCTTCTGTATCACAAAGAAACCAAAGAGCACCAAATGGGTTTTCATATGCACTTTAATTGTTGATGTATTGCAGTTTGGCAACTAAAGGACTTAATTGCTGTCAAATCTGTTTCTCTTGCTTCATTCAACATTGCATCTTTTTCCCCCTCTGCTCAACAGCTTGCAAGTGCAATGGCCACGCGTCTGTCTGCAACACAAATACAGGGAAATGTTTCTGCACCACCAAGGGAATAAAAGGAGACGAGTGTCAACTGTGAGTTTGTTTCACTTTGTTACTTGAAATCAAAAGGCCATGCACATACTGGCATGGGACCCCTACATTTTTTAATGATTGTATTTATGACGTCTCTGCTCATCTCTTCCTGCTGACGGTTGACTAAGTTCATTGACGGTGCAGCCAGCCGTGCTTCCCCTGGGGGATAACGTGAACAAAATGATTTCCTGAAGATTTCCATTTTTAAGAATATTTTAACTGGGAATGTCATGCAGAAGGGATGGGATATGAAAAAATAGTGCCCCCACCCCCAAACTATACATACCGCTTTGTTTTATCCCTCAATAGTTGCTTTTTTTTAATTGGTAGATTTTTACTGTCTGTGCACTCTGCTGTTCTGGGGGAGTGTAAATATATCTGAAATAAGACTTTGACATTCAAGCATTTTAATGGAGCATTTTCAGAGCAACAAATTTGCTGGAGGTTTCTCTGTAACATAACAGAAATGCTTTTAGTGTAATGTTAGTGGAAATAATTTCATTCCAAATAATTTCATTGCCAGGTCCATTTTTAAAGTGTTGCTCACATGGGTAAACATTTATAGGACTGCATCCTGGAATAGCCGTAAAAGTAAATGGAAACTTTAGGTTTTGACTGTAGTAATCCAGTTCCTTGCATTGTGAAGAGCTAATAAATACATTTCAAGTGGATGCAAAGGTTAATATCCAGAATTTTATATTTCATTTTTACTCTGTACTAGTTTGACTTGCAGGGATCGTGGACTTTCTTCAGCAGCCCAGTATAGCTCAGACATCCATCTGTTTTTTTTTAATTGCGTATCGTTATCAGCACAGGTGGTGTTTTCTGATTTTTAGTGGCTGGGAATAAACGGAGCTGAAAAAAACAAATCCATTTATTAAAAAATACGTGTTCTTTTTAGGTGTGAAGTCGAAAACAGATATCAGGGAAATCCACTTAAAGGAACGTGTTACTGTGAGTACTCTTGGGATTTTGTTTGGAGATAAAAAATGTGTTTGAAGTTTAAAATACCTTATTTAAAACTAGTTGTGGTTGACTCAACACCTGTTTAAAATACAGGGGATTAGGGGAAGGACTAAAAAATAGTTTTAAAAAACTTCAGTTTTCACAAAAGTATTGTTTAAAGAGAATGAAAATACTCTTCTTGATAAGGTCTGCGTGATGATTGGACCTTTCAGAACAAACTTCTGAAGGTTTTTTCACAAGACTGAAATATAATCTGGTCTTCTGGAGAACACTCTAAAATATATACCTAATAAGTCAAAACTAAAGCATCTTTTCAGAATTTTTGTAAGTGCAAAATACTATTTTTCTTAAAATTCTTTTCCATGTTAGAATGGCTCAGGTTTCAAAATTGCCACATTTCCTCTGAAATGAACAGTTGGATTCCCGTGCAATTCAAGAAGATACTTTGCCAAGATTCAGATTACTTAATGGGAACTCTCCAGCTTCTATTTGCAAATATTAGCAATCAGCACACTGGCAGGCATGGATAGATGTAATCTTAAATTACATAAAGATGCGAGTCTCAAATAGTATTTTTGTGCAACACAGAAATTATCAACATGCTGTATTTAGCAAATTTGATTTCTGCTTGCTTAGCCAAACAAGGGCACTGATGGCTTCTCATGACAGTCTCTTTGCAAGGATGACCTAATTCATTGCTGCCAATGACAGGGGTGGTTAAGTGGCCAAAAAGGAGAAAAAGACAGAACTTTACAACTCCTACAGAAACAACCTCGTGCTATACAGATTCAGTCTCACTTGGTTTTCTTCCCTGAAAATTTCTGTCTTGCTGCTTCATAGGAGTTGTGGGTAGATGTCAGAAGGTTCTCTAGCTCGTGTCTATCCAACAGGGCATCTCCAGGAGGCAGTAAGAGGAAACCAACACCTGGTGTATAGCTTCATATTTATTCTTGACTGGAATATCTCTGTGTGGGCTCAGGAATACGTACAGGTCGTAACGCTGCGTTTCAATAAAAGGATACTGGGACTGGTGGATGTATGCCCCATACTGGCTGGGCACTCTCGATTAACAGAGGGGTGATAGCCCAGCCCTAGGTAGACATGAGGGTAGGAGGGCATACAGGCAGGCCAAAAACTGGTCCTGGCGTGCCTGGACACGATGTGACCCAGAGTAGGATGGCAACTGGGTCCATGAACAAGTAGCTGCTCCATAGAAATCCTCCCTGTACAGTCCACTGATGTACAGGAACTTTGCATGTGCGGAACTGAGTCTCCTCCCAAGTGGGGATTATACAGTCTATTTTGTTTTGCTAGTATTCCCTTAGCACATGGAGGTATTGCAGTATGGAAAAAGTAAATGCCTTGGCATGTTTTTTACAATGTATAGGTATGAACAGTCATTTAGAATAAGGCTGGAGGCTGTTGCTTGGAAAAAGTAAGCAGAATCTCTTTCCCCTTTAGACTCAAAAAGCGTTTTTTTGTCCCTTTTGTGGGGGATCATCATGCCTTGCTTTGCAGAAGTTTGTTCTGTTCCAAGACATGGGATAACTTTCTCCGTGCATTCCTTACAGATACTCTTCTCATTGACTATCAGTTCACCTTCAGTCTTTCTCAAGAGGATGATCGCTATTACACAGCAATCAACTTTGTAGCAACACCCGAAGAGGTAAGTTTTCTATTTTCCCTTTAAACTTCATCCTTGGGATATATGTTTGTCATCTCCTGACCGTGGAGGTGATGAATTGTTACAGTTCTGCAAGTCTCCAGATGTAGTCTCTTAACATGATATGTACATCGAGCTCCACAGAGCAACCAGAACTTTTTGAGCTTGGCTTGGCCATGCAGTTTCAAATCTTAATGGTAAGATTTCATAAGGAACCACAGCTGAGTCTTCATGGTTGTTTGAACTACTTCTGAGCAGCTCTAGTTTTGCTTATTGTTCACCCAATACATTATGTCTCTATTTTTCCTGTTATATTCTATGCACATGACTCGTTTTATTCTTTATTATGCTTTCCTTGGGGAAGAGAATGCTGCTTTCAGAAAATGTAACTAGCTTTTTGTTTGATGTATTTGCTTCATGCAAATAACAAATTCCAAGATTATTTTATTTTTCAGTGAAGATTTGCTAGGAAAATTTTTACAGTACAGTAAAATTGTTATCGTAAAAATGGGTTTTTATTTTTTTTCCCCCCCAAGCAAAACAGAGACCTGGACATGTTTATCAATGCATCTAAAAACTTCAACCTCAACATTACTTGGTCCACAAGTTTTGCAGGTAAAATGAGCATGATCTGAGTTTCTTGGTAGCTTGTTTCCGTTAGCAGTTTTCAACAAATGCAAATTTAATTGGGGCAACTTTTTTTTTTTTTTAGCCTATGAACTTGCTCTGTAATGATTTTAAATGTGAGGCCTGGCGGGAAGAAGTAAAATATAAAAAAGAACTATGTTTTTCTATGGTAATAGTGTATTTTGGAAACATAGAAGGTGCAAATTTGATTCTTAGTAATGCAATATTTTGGCATATAGTGATTTCGATAATGCAATGCTGCTTAAAATAGTAGTGTTCAGATGAATAGTTAATTTTGTAACATTAAAATTCAGAAGGCTTTGTCCTTTTTGTTTGCCGCTTAAAATGTGCATTGAAACATCTTTTCTTGCTACTTTGAAACGTTTGAAAACAGCTGGCACGCAGGCTGGGGAGGAAATTCCAGTTGTTTCAAGAACCAATATAAAAGAATACAAGGACAGCTTCTCCAATGAGAAATTTGATTTCCGCAACAATCCAAACATCACTTTCTTCGTTTATGTCAGCAATTTCACCTGGCCGATAAAAATACAGGTAGGAGCTGTTCACATGTGTATAATTATTTAAAAGTACGGTGTTGGTTTCGCTCAAGCAATGTGGCAGCTCGGAGCTTTGTGTTGTCCAAGCTGAACCGGCTCTCAATATAATCCTGCAGCAGACAAAGGCTTTGAGGTTCCTGATTAAGAGCAAAAAGGTGCGTCGTCTTCTGATGTTGCCTCAGCCCAGTGGATCTAAAAATGTGCTGTGCAATAAAGTGGGTTGTTCGCTTATTAACAGGGCTATGTTCTAATGAGGTCTCTGACTTTAAATGCGTAGATACTGATGGTGAAGAAAACAAACACTCATATAGCCAAAAACCAAGCCCGGAATGAGAAAACAGAAATGGTCTTCGTGTTTCTTTTTAATGTCTAGTTCTCAAAAGGCACAGCTTGAGGGCCATCCCTCTTTCTCCTTGCGCTGCCCAAGACCGGTGGTACCTGCAGAATAAGATGAAGCTTATTCTTTCCCTTAATTGAGTGCAGTCAGTTAACACACACGTTGCCTCAGGTGTCTGACTGTGATGATAAGGCTAGTGCTGAAGAAGCAGTGGATGAAGCTTGGTGGGTCATGAAAACACTCATAGATCACAGACTGCAATCACAGACCCTCTGCAACTGCTGTGGCAGCTAATAATTCAGAGGAACCTTGGCCGCCTTCTGGCTGTGGGCTAAGTCAGCTATCAACCCACAGTGTACTCGGAGTGACACGGGCGCCCGTTGAAGGACAAAAGTACTTCTAGGTGTGGAATGGAGATCTCAAACAAGGCTCTGTATATTTGAATTCTGCCTTCTTTAAGAAGCTTGGTCAAATGTGGGAACCCCAATTCTTCCATCTTCACCTTTATTCAACCAATTATTATGTGAAAGCTGACAACTTCACATTAATTTACTTCATATTTGAGACATATCAGTCACACAAACTCACCGTAGGGGTCACTTCCAACAAAGATAACCCACATGATAATATCGAGCAAGGAAATGAGGTCCACCTGCAAAAAAGGTCCTTAAGGTATAGTGATATTTTTCAAGGTATTTCCTGAACTTTTAAAAAAATATTATGAATAATTGTGAGATGTCTGCATCACCTTTTGGTAAAGATGGTGGGGTTTAAGTACTTGGGAAACTTCGTCTTGTTGATTGCAGACTGGTAGATTTGATAGGCTGACTTTGGACTGCGTTTTGGTTCTTTTTAATATCGCTTACAATATTGGTAATCATTTTCCAGCTGGAGAGTTTTTACTTTACAAATTGGTGAAGTCTTAGTGCATTGTGGAGTCCTAATTATTAGATATGGAGGAGTTTGCAAGAGCTGCAAGGTGAAACCTTTATGTCCTTGGATGCTCAAGCAGCAGGTGCTAAGCTGCATTGTTTTCATTTAAGAAAAGTACTGCTTTCAGTAGAGAAAGAAACATCCTGTGTACAAAGGTGGGCACTGCTGTAATGGTTTATTTAAATATTCAGGCTTCTCTTTTATCAAATTGGTAATCACAGGAGTCAGGAAAAAAAAGAAGTATTTTATTTAACTTACAGGTTATGTTGGCTGATAGTTTACTTGCCATAATCAGTGCTGCACTGTACCTTACCTTGATTTATTTATTTGCTATTTCTTGATGCAGAATTGTGTGTTAGGACTTTGTAGATGTTCAAGAACAGTGCCGTCTCCTGTTTCTTAAGCTCTCCTGTGTTTACTGCGGTCTCCACTCTACCTGCACTTGTGGTGAATTTCTGCTAGCTTTTCCTATGCTGGTGTTGTCCTTGAGCTTAAATGTCCCCTCCATCTTCTCTGGCAGCTGGTTCTCCTGCTTTCCCTGGATGAATTTGGACAGGTCATATCCTCTCTCAGCCTTTAGTGTTTGTTTGTTGGCTTAAGCAAGACAAACCCTCATCATCTTGTCCTGTGGAACAGGTTATTCAGGTTCAGTTGTCTCATTTGTTTTTCCTCTGGGCTCCCTTGTCTTAATCTTACTTGTACAGTTTTGGTCAGCCATGGGTAAGGTCATGGAGATCAGGTCTCACCATTGCTGTGTCCAGCAGTATCTCTAGGTTCTTTATGGATGTTTCTAGGTCCTTTTATGGCAGTACTTTGCTTTGCTCATTCTCATGGCTGCAGCAATTAATAGTCCTTATTCATTTTAATATGGACTAATACACCCTGTTCTTTCACAGCATTGGTTTCCTACTGATGAGCTCCCAGTCTTGATAGCAAACATTCTTCTCGGTCCCTAATAGCACTGTAAAATGTTATCCTGCTGCTGTTACTGGATAATGTTGCTGGTCCTGAAGATCATGTAGTTTTTCTTCTCTGTGGTTCTCCTGAAGATCATCTAGTTGTTCTTCTGTGTGGTTCTTTTCCATATTTTTATTATTATTATTATTTTTTATTATTATTATTATGATCCCCTTCAACTTTGTCAGCAGATTGTGACATTAGCACACTTTTGTTTTGAGTCTGTGTCATTAATGAATATAAATATATCAGTCAAAGTCTGTCCAAATGCCATCCTCGAACTAACTTCTGTCCTCTTTAACCACTATGATGTTTGAAATAATCTTCACCATCTTTATCTCGCCCAGGAATTTCCAGTGTATTGATATCCATAATGAAATTTGGATTAGCTCAGCTGTACTGTCTAGGTCTTTACAACTAATTGTTTTTACAGACAGAAAATAGTGGGCTGGCAGAGCACAGATTACTTTTGTCAGCAATACTGCTTGTTGATTTCAGTTTTTCATTTACTACTTAAGTTCTTTAATTCAAAACTTGTCCTGAAACTTTGCATGCTATTGAGGTTTTGGAAGCATGAATGTCTAGAGTGTCCCTCCTCCTCTAAATCCATTTTAAATTTTCCATAGTGCCATGCTCAGCTGGTAGATTGCTTTAACAGCCTTGCTACCAGAGGCGTTATTTCATGTGCCATTTCTTTTGGAGTGCTGGAATGCACGCTGTCTGCTTTCAGTGACTTTGAACACATTGAAACATTGGAGTGTTTTCTCCACCTTGGTTGTGTATCTTTTTATAACCTTGTTCCCATTAGACACCTTGCCTTGCACCTATGTTCAGTGTCCTTGTCCTTAATGAAAACTCTAATTTAGTTTTAGGGATGTAGCTGATTGGTTTTAATCTCTTGGCTATCCTTACGCATACCCTCTTCCCTTTCCCTTTCTGGTCTCCGTTACTTGTATGGCTGAAACATCTCTTGCTATTTTGTTTAATGTTTGCTGAGGTCTAGCACAGCTTGACATTTGGCAGTTCTTATTTTATCTCTGTACTACTTGCTGGCTTCTAAGACATTGCTAACGAATCCTTTCCTCTCCATAATATGTAGACTCTTTAATTGTTCCTAATGTCCTTTTTGAGGTGAGTTCTGAGGATACGGCTTTCCAATAGTTTTGCATCTTTGACCTGAGAGAAATACTTAGATGGCTGCTTTCCCATTCCTTACTTCCTTAGTCCACTTGATTTTACTGTCTTACTCAATTTCTCATCGTTAAAAAGGAGTGAACTTTGATTCTGTTACACTTGCCTCGTTTTATCCTTAATTTAATACGAATGTGCTTGCGTGCACTCAATCCAAGGTAATTTTATATCACCAGCTCTTCTTAATGTCCTTGTTACTCACCAAAACAAAGTCTAAAATAGCATCAGCTCTTAATGGTTGAGACACTTTTGTGAAGAAGTCTGGCAGTGATACTGCATCCAGGAATATGTGGTCCTTACTATTTCAATTAGCATGCTCTTCAGTTCATATCCAAGAAACTTTTTTCCCCAAACTGATGTTTTTCTGTCACCTTTTTCCGAATACCTATTGGTGTTGAACGTCTCAGTCCTTTCTCATGCCTGCAATAGCAGTTCTTCGTTACTTTGTCATGGCTTTGTCATCGTTCTGCAGTAAGCCCACCTGCACCTCCTTTCGCTGGAGTTCTCATCGTAGCTCAACACAGCATTCCTCCCTCCTTTCTCCCAGCAGCATTGCTCGTCGGAGTGTGAGATAAAACCAGTTTTCTTCTGCATCCTTTAACAACTGTTGGAGAGTCAAGTCTGCATTTTGCATTTTTTTAATTTGACAAAGAGCATGGTCTTCTTCACCAAATCCCAGAGCGGTTGAGATTGGAAGGAACCTCTGGAGGCCATCTGGTCCAATCTCCTGCTCAAACAGGGTCACCTAGAGCTGGTTGCCCAGGACCATGGCCAAACAGATTTTTAATATCTCCAAGGATGGAGACTCCACAACCTGCCTGGACAACCTGTGCCAGTGCTCGGTCACCCTCACACTCAAAATCTGTTTCCTGAGGTTCAGAGGGACCCTCCTGTGTTTCAGTGTGTGCCCATTGCCCCTTGTCTCATCACTGGGCACCACTGGGAAGAGCATGGCTCCGTCCTCTTTGCATCTTCCCTTCAGGTATTTATAGACATTGATGAGACCCCCCGAGCTTTCTCTTCTCCAGGCTGAACAGTCCCAGCTCTCTCAGCCTTTCCTCCCAGCAGAGATGCTCCAGTCCCTTCGCTGGAGTCTCTCCAGTATGTCCACATCTCTCTCGTACTGGGGAGCCCAGCACTGCACACAGTGCTCCAGGTGTGGCCTCACCAGTGCTGCGTAGAGCACAAGGATCACCTCCCTCGACCTGCTGGCAATATTTTGTCTAATGCAGCCCAGGACACCACTGGCCGCCTTTGCGGCAAGGGCACGTTTCTGGCTCACGTTCAGTTTGGTGTCCACCAGGACCCCCAGGGCCCTTCTTGCCAAGCTGTTTTCCAGCCGGGTGGCCCCCAGCACATACTGGTGCCTGGGGTTGTTCCTCCCCAGGGGCAGGACTTTGCACTTCTCCTTGTTGAACTTCATGAGGTTCCTGTTGGCCCATTTCTCCAGCCTGGTGAGGTCCCTCTGGATGGCAGCACGACCCTCTGGAGTATCAGCCACTCCTCCCTGTTTGACATTGCCTGCAAACGTGCTGGGGGTACACTCAGCTGCATCATCCAGATCATTAATGAAGATG